ATATGTAACAGCAGACCTGACCTCATTACCCATCACAACTACAATAATAACTGGGAAACTTGCAAATATAGCTAGGAGATGGGTTGATGGGCAAGAGCCTTAAAGGGTTGTCTATGTGATTTCCCTAAGCAGGAGCTTTGAGGCGTAGCAGACCAGGGCAAGCATGGGCTCAAAAGCAAACCTTGTATTTAGAGCCCAGTTGTGTACTTTCTGATGTATGGGGCGTTGCATGAGCAACTTCACCTGTCTCGGTCCCCGTGGTAAAGTGAGCATGACAACAACGGTGCTTATCTCAGAAATTCATTCCTAAGGTTGAGAGAGAGAGGACGTGGAAAGCTCCTAGTACAATACCTCGCTGGCTCAGGTCTGGTTCTCCAGGAACAGGGTCTGAGACCAGTTGGCATGCAGGAGGCCACGGGTAGTGCAGAGAGGAGTGGAGGTAGCAGGAGGGAGAACTTGGGCTGTAATGTAGCCTCAACAAAGGCCTCTGGTGAACCCACAGGGAGCAGCTCTGAAGCTGAGACAGCCCTTCTGAATTGTCCCACCTTGAGGCAAGGATTTTTGTACATCCAAATTATCCATTGGATACAGGCTACCCAAGTGAGGGGGTTTAACCTTGGTGAGGCCGCCTCCCTGAGTCAAAGGCAATTCTTAGAGAAGAACTCCACCAACAAGCCTCACTAACTACTTCCAGCATCTAGAAGGAGACATCTGGAAGGACAAATACCTCAGTCTTAAAGAGGAGGTCCGTTCAGGTGCTGCACCATGACATCAGCATTTAATGTAAACCATTAGAGCCATTATAGCAGCTGCTTAAAATTTCCCAAACTTGCTGAGTACTTAAGGCTTCCTCATCGTCAAAGTATAACTTCCTAAAGGTTATAAGCATAATTGTGATGCAAATATACAAGAGCATGGGTCAAAACTGTGTTGACTTCGTTAGGGAGCAGGATGACAAAACTGGATCGGGGGAGGATATGGGGACTGCTTGTCACATGGATGTAGGTGTACATACAGCACCACAGGACACAAGTTTAGTGCGGAAACAAATGCTGGCGTGAGATCACAAAATTAGATACAACGCTACTCAGTGCCCTGCAGGAACAAAAAGACATAACCTTTGGAGCTAGCTTTTCTGTAAGACGAAAGTCATCTGCAACTTTCTGTCTACAAGTGTCTACTCCAGAGCCTGGGTCCTAGTCCAAGCACATGGTCTGTCATACAAAGCTACATCTGAGACTCAGCAGCCCTTGGGCTGCTGTGCGGAGACCATGCTTTAGCAGGTCTTTCAAAGGGCATGCAGTTATCTTTTGGCCTTATTTCACGTTCTGGATAATTTCTTACCATTAGTGAACACTGAACACCCCATACCAGCCATCAGGGCCGTCACTGCACAGGAGCGACCCCTGAGAACTCTTTCAAAGGTCAGGTCCACTGAGCAAATGAAATTCATTCTTTCCTTCTGGTGGTACCAGTAGGATTCTTTGTTCTAAAACAACCTTTGCGTCCCACCCTGGGGACCACATTCATCCCAACAAGCTCTCCATATGCCCACTGTGCATAACCTACCCCCTTCTTAGCTATCACTTCTTTGTTGACAACTTTCTGGTCAAAGACGAGCATACACACATTGCTAGGAAAATGTGGTTAAAAGACAAGTACAGTCAACAGAGGGCTGTTGATTCTAATTTGAAAAAGAAGTTATTTTACACGTAGGTTCAATTCCTTGGAACTCTAGTCCTCATATTTTGTATGGAGACATGGGGAAAGCCTGCCTTAAGACGATCTTGGAAATCCAGAAGGCTGGTCACTTTAGACTTTATCCCCTACCATCAACCATCCCTCAGCGCCAATTGGAGGGATTAAACTTCGGCATTTCATAACTGCTTCACAGAAGCTTCTCTCTTACTTACTGCACAGCTGAAGGGAGAGCTGGGGCGTGAATTCTCTAGGTGTCATATCTGAAGCCTATCGGCTCCCTATGCCTTTTGCAAGGTGACTCTCAGGCTCTGGGCTGCAACAAGGGTGATTCTTTCCACTGTGTGGAGTGCACGGTCTTGGACCCTGACCTGGATCTTGGGATTAAAAAAGAAAAGTACTTCCCTCCTGGTTAACATGGGCCATCTGTCCCGAAAACAAGAGCAAGTAGAGCCACTCCATGCCTACTAGATCTGATGGTCACTGTGAAAGACATGTCCTCAAAGGTTCAGAATTTTCCAAGCATTTTAATTCAGTTTCACGCACTCCATGTTTCTCGACTTAGAAGGCCCATACTGGGGATCTGAGCCCGTGTTTGGCATTTGATCTAGTGTTTATGCACAGAGAATGTGAAACAACACAAAACAGCCCACATAAATCAGGTTACATAAACACCACATTAATTTGGTCTGTTGGGACGGAAAGATGGGGAAGTGATTGATTTAGGGAATACTACTTTCAAATCCCATGTTCTTGCTTCTAGGGGACGTGAGCTAATAATACAGCCAAGCTCTGCTGCTTTACGTGGATGGATGGCTAAGACATGCTGGCCAAAGCATACTCAAACGGAGATTAGATAGTGGCGATGGTTGCACAATTTTGTGAATGAATCAAAGATGGAGTTGTACAAAAGGGGGTATTTTGATAGTATGCGAATGATAGCTCAATAGTTTTTTTTTTTTTTTAAGCACACTCAGAACTAGGATTCCCCATGGGGGTCCTGGCTCTTCTAAGCTATAGGCTTCTGCTCTACCAAAAGCACTTCTGCTGCTCCCAGGGGCAGAAGAACCTGTCAACTCTCCTGGCGGTACCAAAGCTGGGGCCCTGGAGTCAACCCCAGTTTTGTCAAGTTCCAGCTCTGTGTTCTCAAGGAAGCAACCCTCTCCTACCTACCTCATAACCTGGAGAAGTATTAGGACCACCTCACATACAGCAGGAACTGAGAAGGTACTGCTCTTTAGGTCCAGTCCTGAAGAAGCTTAAACCATGGCAAGTAGAGGCCACTGCTTCTCACCTCCTGAGACCATGGCAGATCATCCATTCAAGATCTTTAGGGGTTCGTGCCAAGTCTTGTGCCTAAATTTTCCCCTGAATTAAACCTTGAACCCAAACTGGTACCCACCCCTTGGGCCCTGATCCTGTTTTTATAATTTCCTCATTGACTTCTGGGCCCTTATTCACATCCCTTCAGACATACTAAACTCACTTGACCCTCAGGAGACATTGAACCAAACGCTCTCTCCCCACAGGAAGAAATAATCTACCCCTGCCCCACCATACATTATATTCTTATGTCTCTTGGGTATGTCACTGATACCGATTTTTTGTTCCAAGTTTTATTTATCAGACTACGCTTAGTTATGCAAGGTTTACCATAATATTTAGCTGTTTGTTCAGGGAAATTCTCCCTTTTAAAAGGCTCATTTTTTAAAGTTTCTTAAGCTTTATGTTTATTTTTTTTTCCATGTATTGTATAAGTTACAAAAAAAGAAATTCCATTGACTGGGACTTGATTTAATTTCTAAATACTGAAAAAACGTGAGGGCTTCCTACTATTAGTTTACTTCACACACATTAAGTTTTCCCACCTGGGGCCATGACATGTCTTTCCATTCACATCTAATGTCCCCTATCAAGTTTTAGATATAGCTTATTATTTCTAAGAATTTCTGGGTTTTCTTGGCATCGATTTCCTACTAATTATTAATGTGGAAGAAAACTACTGATTTTTCTTTAGTATTGACTCACCTGTGAAAACATTGTAAGAGTTTTTCATTTCTTTCTCTTTGGGTCTGCCCCACCCCCAAATACTACCCGCAAAGGCTTCTCTTTTCTAAGTGTTCTCACTCTACTTTCTCACATAATTGTGTTTCTTGAACAATACTGAAGAGTGGGGAGGGAGGTCACTCCGTGTTGTGCCCCCAAAGTAATGGGTAATGTGCCCCAGAGCACCTCTAGAAACAAAATAGTTCTTTACATTTGCTTTCCAAATTTAGTTTACAAAGCATTTGACTAATATAAAACCTGTACATACTAAGAAAAATGTAGAACGTTCACAAATTAAAAATTGCTCTTAGGAGTGACTCGCCACCACTGTGACCCTGTGGCCAGGTTGAAGAGGACAGAAGCTACTTGTAACGCCACTGTCAAAGACCAGCATAGGGGAAGAAGATGTCCACTCCTGTGCACTCAACAGATGCTTTGTCAGCAGAGCTGAGGAGGGCTACATTGACTGGATCCTTGGTTTCAGAGATGGCAGCCCAGAAAGTTATCATGAGGGTTCCAACATTCCCATTCCACTTCTGCCCTCCTGGCTTTCGGTCTTTGCTGGGACTGTCTCCCAGGCTGTAGACAAGCCATGAATCAGATACCAAAAAAAAGCTGGTCTGGGTTTTCACTTACTGGAAAGTAAGGGTCACCATACCCATTATAATTTTGTTTAAATGCCAGATCGGTATGTGGAATGTTTTCCTGGATCACACCAAGGTTAACCGCATCTTAACTAGCTAGAATTGCTTCACATCAGTGGTATGAAAGTACAGCAACTCTACTGTATATACCTAGAAGTCCATTGTGTCCTGGGGACAGCTCATCACTTATTTCCATAGTTGGCTGCACTTGGAACTGATAACAGAGAAATTGTAATGAATTTGACAGGGAAAGGACACCAACACAGGATTTTCGGTTTTTCTCTACATAGCTTTTAAAAAATGTAATTTGGTTTCAGAGCATTTCTTCACTGAGCCTACAGAAACAAACAAAACACTAGCAAGCCATCAGACTCCTCAATGAAAATGTATTTCACGTTAAACACAACGTACACGTCATGCAAATGAGGCATCACCATGGTCACAATGGTGCTGTGAGGTACAACAGATCACAACAAAACAAACATTTAGCAAAATAAAGCTATAGGAAAGATGGTGAGGCATTTTTTGAAAGTCAGACCATGCTATCATTTTCTGTGTGCTTGTCATAAAAGGGATTTTCCCCCGATATGCATCAAGATCAATGGCACTGCATTACTGGAGGCATGTATTTTATTTAATATATACACATACACAAACATACACAGTTTCCATAACTAATAAAGTTTTAAACTGTAGCGGGTTTTAAAAGCACATGAACAAGATTACTTTTGAGACTTCTTTTTATCTCCTTGTTGCAAACCTCAGTCAAAATTATGGATCTTTTCCAAACGCTTTATTATACAAGTCAAAATAAGTTTCAGAGAAGGTCATTTTAATCTGAAAGTCACATTTCACCACAAGAAATAAAATTAAGAAAACACATTATTATATGTGTTCTGAAAATGTGCATGAAATACATGGAGTATACATTCTAGTGTCATTTGTCGCCCGTTCGGATATTTTTATACTGAAATCTATTAAAGTGATATACTGGGTCCAGTTCAGGGCCTCCTTATTCCAGAGCACTATACTTTTCATTTGTGTGTGGCTTCATCAGAGTTGAGCAAACACAGGAGCAAACAAACAAGGACCTGAAGATCCAAGAGAAAAGCAATAGCAACAACATGAAAACCAACCACCTGTGCATGAGACACAAAATTCATTCAAACTTCCTTCGGTCCAAAAGCCGCTTGATGGCTTGGGAGATTTTTTTAAGGTTCAACAATGACAAGATCCTTGCCAGACTGAGGTGCCCACATCTATAAGAAAATGCGTAAGTGAACAGAAATCATCCCGCCCTGCTTGTTTCCATAATCAACCAGACTTACTCTATTAGTTCCCCAAGGAGTAATGTGGGGCAACACATTTTACAGATGGCTAAGCTTAATAATAAAAAAAGCTTCTTGATAGTAACTTCCAACAAAGAAACCTCAGAGAAGGGAGAAAACCCTCTGGAATTTCTTCTTCTAAACAGAGACAAGGAGATAAACAGCCCAAGTTCAGTATATATGCTTAAGCAGAGTCTGGGTTAACGTCTAGAATATTTACAGGAAAAGACATCTACATGTTTAGGTACTCCAGCTTTGGGAATAAGAACAGTTATAAGGTGAATTTCCAACACAGAACCACCTGGGTTATTCGGAGGAGCACTACGATAATAAAGTAGCACAGGAAGCGCTTTATCAGCCGCTGAAGCCCATAAATAGATCTGTAACATGAAATTTTGCTAAAGCCCAACAAGGCCAGCGTTTCAAGGTTTCTACCAAGAGTGGCCAGGGTTTGAGTTTGACATACTAACTAGGAATATACAGTTACATTTGGATCTAATAATTTGGAATCCAGGGATTTAGGACAACAGAAGCTTCTTCAGAGGACCGGCAGCTCGGATTTGACTACCAGCAGCTTCATGGGTTCTCCAAACACCACCTGTGTCAATTCAAAAACAAAACCAGGTGAGATGAATGAAGAGACCACGCTGTACCTATTCTCTCTCACTAAAATGATCACATTGTCTGGGACTTTCTACCTTCTTGATTATATTTTCCTTGGTTCACAAAGTATCTTTCAACTGAGGTGCTACAGCATTTTGGGTAGAACTATTCTACTAGGTCGCCAAATTCTCTTCGGTTGGGACTGTCCTAAAACCTGTAGGATGCCTAACGTCCTGCTTTCCAAATGGCAGTGCTACCCACAGCTACTGTGACAATGACCCCCCCCCCAACATATTTTAGGATTTCAGAAGAGAACTTATTTTAAGAAGCCAAATGCAGTCAAAACAAACAAAATACATGCTTATTTATGTTTATCTCTATCCCATTCTTTGTATTTCTTAAAGTTTTTATTTTAATCCTATTAACAGTATACTGTTCATTTCAAGGATACAGTAGAGTGAGTCAGCACTTCTGTACGTCACCCGGTGCTCATCAGGACGAATGCCCTCCTTCACTCCCATCACCTGTCTCACCCTTCACTTCCCTACTTCCCCTCTGGTAACTGTTTGTTCCTTGCAGTAAAGAGTCTGTTTCTTCTTTGCCTCTTCCCTCTCCCCTTTGCTTGTTTGTTTTGTTTCTTAAATTCCACGTATGAATGAAATCACATGGCATTTTTCTTTCTCTTGCTGATTGATTTCACTTAGCATAATACTCTCTAGGGACCTGGTTTATTCTAAAAATTACCTGTCATGCATTCCCTTTCATGTGTGAAAGGGCCACACCTTCTTTCCCAAAACTCAAGAGAAGAGATGCACCGTGTATACCCAAAAGTTGAGCACAGGCAGATGTATACAAAATACAATGACCTTGATTATGTGGCTTCCCCAACCTGTTTCCTCATTTGATTTTACTTAAGTAATCTCTGCGCTCAACATGGGGTCAAAAACCCTGAGATCAAGAATCTCATACTCCTCTGACTGACCCAGCCAGGAGCCCCAAAATAGACTTTAATATTCTTTTTAGTAGGCTCTACGCCGAACACGGGGCTTGAGCTCCTAACCCTATGATCAAGAGCTCTACTGATCTGAGAATGCTCTACTGACAGCCAGCCAGGCACCCCATGTTTCCTCATTTGAGAAACAGAAAGGTTGGACTGTATCCTATCAGGCATTAAAGTTCTGTTATAGGAGTGGAGCTTAAGGGACATTTAACTCTAGGAAACAAACTGACGATCGCTGGAGGGGAAATGGGTGGGGGGATGGAGTGACTAGGGGGTGGGCATCAAGTAGGGCACATGATGCAATGAGCACTGGGTGTTATATGCAAATGATGAATTACTGAACTCTACCTCTGAAACTAATGATACACTATATGTTAATTGAATTAAAATGAAATTTTAAAAAAAGAAAGTGAGAGTGTGATGAGAATATAGAAATGTTTTGAAGAGTCTGAAGTGGGAGGACGGTTGGAATCAAGTTATGAAAGGAACTGATGACAGATTCTAATTATGTTTTCATCATCAAAACAAATAAGCCCCAAAATGAAGTAAATCCAATGTGAGGTATGTATAACTAAGTCACCCAAATGCAGAGTATTTAGAACTCATTTTGGCAAGAAAAAAGGCCAAAGGTGGTGAACAAAAGCTTTAGGACACAAACATCAGTTCTCCATTCCCCCACTCCCTCAGGTGTGATCCAAGAATAAATATTCACTTTAAAAGACTGCAGAATGGGTCAACAGAACAGCAAATCATTTGGCCAAAAGCTCATCACCGCATATAAATTATTGTAGCTAGAATGTGGGATGGCACTGAGAGAAACTAGGGGAGACATTCATTTTATTAATACCACCTTGCACCACTATTACAGCATTCTCTCTTTGCCTCTAAAAATGGTGCTACTCCAGACAGATGGCTGCTCAAACTTTTAGCAGTGCTTCTCAACACACACACCCATCCACAAACCCCGAAGAGCAGGGGCAGGCATGGTGGCGAATAGCAATGAAGGATCTCAAAATCCATCTCAATTATTGTGTATGTGTTGCAGTATATACTATATACAGGTTTCCCCCGCATCTGAAAGAACATTCCTACGAAACCTTTTGTAATGGAATATGGTGAAGAAGCAATTACCACTAACTCACATGAAAAAAATTTTTGAGCACTTCCAGACTCCGAAAATAACCTCTTAGGCTTTTCTGATACTTTAGGACACTTCTTGCCAATGGATGTGCAAAATAAACGGAGATAAAGCACAGATGCTTACTGATAGTGCAAAGCTATGGCAGCTGAATGCTGAGTGCGGCTGTCAGGAAGGAGCCTGGCAGAGCCACTCTCACTGCCTCTCTAACAGCTGGCTCCAAGGTGAACGCTGAATACTATTTGCACATTTTGCCTCTATTTTTTTTTTTTTTTTTTGTAAAAGCAAGAACCCTCTTTGGATTACTTTCAGTTACTATAAACAGGTAACTAACGTAGGTCTTCCATAAACTACATTTCGCATAGTGTGGAACTTTTGGCAAAACAGGTGATATCTGTATTCATATTCACATTTATATTTTTCAAATAAAACTGACCATCGAAGAGATGGAATGATGTTAACCCCACCTTCACAAACCCCAGGTGGAGAGGTATAAATTTAGACTCTAAGCAAAAGACTGTACTGTACCTTTCATTAAAGAGAGGTATTTGTCAACAGAAGGTGTTCAGAGTATTTTCTTGGCCAGGACTGTTAAATCCTTCAATCAGATTTTTGTTACAGTCATCCAGGCTGAGATTTTCACTGGATCGCTTGGGGTATATGGGGGGGCCAGTGAAATCTAAGAGATCTTGAAGAGCTCGGGCATTACCAGTTCCATTTTGGTCCAGAGACACCCCAGGAATCATTTCACTTACTGGTGAAAATTCTGGGATAGAAATAAGCTCTTCCTTTGAAACAGGACTGGAATGTGGGGAGGGGAAAGAGAAGGACAGAAGAAGAGAGAGAAAGGCAAAAATTAATTGTATTTGCAATATTTGGTTATATTACTTTTCTAGAGAAGATGGACTTAGAGTTGGTATGAAATGTACTAAACAAAATACAAGTTAGTTCAACTCTGAGACTCTGATAGAAAAGGCCCCCATGGAGAACAAGGGAAGTGGACTGAGCAGAGTTGTGAAGGCCAAGCTCACACTTCCACAAGAAGAAAGAAAATAAAAACTAAAGGCACCAGCACTGTGGAGAAGCCAAGCACTTCCAAAATCTTCAAAATGGAAAAACCAAATAGAAAGCCAGTGCTTAAAAAAAAAAAAAGAAAGAAAGAAAGAAAGAAAAGAAAGAAAGAAAGAAAGCCAATGTTAGAAGTTAAAACTGAGCTGAGGAAGGGCTCTACTCAGCACTGGAGCTTCTGGCGCTGCTTTTCTCAAGTGGTGCTACTTTTGACGAGCTACTTTTTCTCCCCTGGCCTCAGTTTCTCTGCTGTACAATGGGGGTGAGCAATCATTTCTTCATACCAGGGCTCCTGTGAGCGTGATGTGATCATACCGAGGAAGTCTGTGTGGAGCCACCTGGAGCAAGTGTTCAGTTTAGGTGGGAGCCGTTATTAGCAAGGACCCCACCATCCACCCACCACCGGCAGAGCAGTTCTTTCCCAAGTAAGGCCCCACTCTACCCTGACTTATCCAGCTCCTGCCCACCAGGCCTGGCTCTCCACCTCCTAGAGATGGAAGAAGGAGTTTCACAGCTGTGTCAACCACAGGCATAGCTCAGATGAGTGGTGGGCTGGCGTGTGAGGTTCCGTCACTCAGAGTCTTTCTTAACAGCCAGAGTAAGGCTGCTGCCAGGTTCGACTGTTCTTTTCTTCCTTGATAAGATCTGAGAGAAGAATCTATAAAAACCAGTTGAACTGAAAAACTCAGAAAATCCATCTCCCTCATACTCAGCCTAGTTAAGGGGTAGTAGAGGACCTACCATCACCTCTGGTGGCTGGAACCTGGGCAAACTGCCCGATCAGCAGAAAAACCCACCCCATCTCCACCTCACTTTACTTCCTCTCCCTGGGTTTACAGAGCTGGTCAGAGCATGAAGAGGAGAAAAGGCCACAAGTTTGGGTGCAACTTCCAGGAGTCATCTCTCTTTAAATGCAGAGACGGCCGCAGGAGAACTCGGAGCACACACAAAGCCCCTTCACTTCTTGAACCCTGGCGGGTGCTATGTCTTATCCCATACCCCACTCCCAGAGACATCAAGAGTAAGCGGAGGTAGGCTCAACATGGGGCGGGGGCAGAGATGTGGTGTTAACTTTTAGGATGACTCGGCTGTTCTGCCCTGGTGGCTGAGGAGTGGAACCAAAGGAGGCAAGGGCTGTCTCTGTAGAATTTGCTCTACTGGTGACGGGGTGCTGGACCCTGGGTTTTTACATACCTGGCTCAAAGCCAGGATGCACAAGCTGGGATATTTACAATCACTGTGCCCTAGGAAAGACCATCTTTCCCAGACAAAGCTGAGAATTCACAGCCAAGGAGAGAACGGTAAGCTCTGGGGGGCTAGAGCGCTGACAGAACTTTTGCAAAACACTGTCACTGCCTCCTGACTCAGCTGCCTCCACTCAACTGCCCTGCCCAAGGCTCTCTCTTGCAGTGTCTCTGCCCCAACCACAGGCTAACTGAATTCTCCTTTTGAATGGGATTAATTTGCCAGGTGATATCACCTACAAACACACTAGTTAAAGAATTCCTCAAGATTGTAGCATCTGAAAGCAAATGAGATTCCTTATCAAGTCCCCGCTGACAAGTCTATGTAACATAAGACAGTGGACACAGTGAGTCCTGTTGGTGTTGCGCTCGGATCCCCTTTAGCTGTAGGTACATCCGGCTCCCAGCTGCAGAGAGAGCAGGCTGCTAACAGCTCAGAGCTGCCCCCTCTTCTCTGAACACCCGCCTTGGCTGAAGGAGCCCTATGTCCACTGAAGTTATAACTGCATCCCCTTCCTTGGGTGACCACGCTCAATGACTGATGGATACGGTGGCACAGAAGCTGCTTCCCTTAATCAGACCACTCCCTGGTAGAAATTTATCCTCCAGATCTCCCCTATGACCAGCTGACAGAAGCCTCGCTTAGTGATTTCCCGTGCCCCATCCTGCTTCCCACCCAACTCTTGCTCCAGAGAACTCTTTCCCTGTAAATCCCATGCCTTTGAATACCTGTCCCACGCTCTACTTCTTTTTTTAATATTTATTTTAGGCGAGAGAGCGAGAGTACGCACACAAGTGGGGTGAGGGGCAAAAATATTCAAGCAGACTCCCCGCTGACCGCAGAGCCAGACGTGGGGCTCAATCCCATGACCCATGAGATCATGACCTGAGCCAAAACCAAGAGCTGGATGCTCAATCCATTGAGCTACCCAGGAACCCCTCCCAGGCTCTACTCCTAGGGAACCTGACCTAAGACACTGATAAACCACTGACAGCTTTCCTAAATGTCAATGGAACCTACTTTAGTCGATTCAGGTGTTTAAAAGAAAAAAAAAAGTCAATGAAGAGGCAGTGGAGGTGTTTGGAGAAGAGGTGAAGCTCACATGCAAAATAAATCAACTTACCTCACATCCATAGACTGAACCTCCTCAGTTGAATCATCCAGACTGTTTGATTTCCCATCAAGGGTGTCCAGATGAACAAGTCCCCCAACTGGTTTAAGCCCATTAGAGAAAATGTCTCGGGGAAAAGTTTCTGGGCCACTGCGCCCCACACCATTAACTTCCTGGCAGTTGTTTAATCCATTTATTTCTGATTGAGAACACAAAGTCATTCGTTAACCATAAAATATCCAGAACAAGGAGCTAACAGAGGAAATATACATTGAAGCAATTAATTTAATCCTCTACTTTACCAGCAGTGCAACATCTTTTGCCAAAAAAACCCACAACAACAAACGAACAAACAAAAAAACCCCTGTGTCATCAGCTTCACACAGGGAAAAGAAAGGACTAATGACATCACCAGTGTCTGTGCAGGGCTCCTGACCCGCCCAGGAGGCTTGCTGTCTCATACTGTGCAGGTCCCCACACTCTGTAGAGCGCTTACTTGAGCCCCAATGCAAAGGAAAAATGTAGAATGCTTCTGAGATGGACACACCCTTCTGATTTTGGTTGCCATGAAATATTCACATCTAAAGAGTTTTAAGTATACCCGAGAGAGACGAGCTGGACTGCCCGAAGTGTGGAAGACAGTAGAAACTACCATAGAATAGCAGAGTCCATTCTGAATAGAACCTGACCAGCTGCTGAGCTCCCTGGAAGGTAACATGGGCCAGCAGGTGGCCAGTTTTCTGTGGTGGGACTAGTAGAGTTCCACTTTCTGAATGGACCTGACAGACCTCTGGTGGAGATGGGGACTCCACCAGAAGGGAAACTACACAGTCCCCTTCCAGCAGTAATACTCTTAAGACCCACAGGTGCTTGTCCCCAGCAGGAAGTGCTATGAGCCCGTACCTGCTGAAAGGAACTCAAGAACCAGTTCTCACACTTACCTATTTTGTTCGGGACAACTGGTTTTATCTTTTTTTCCACACACACAGCAGACTGAAGCTCCACCTTTGGGTCTTCTTTCTGAAAGCAGATACAGGGAAGGATGACTTTACACAGAAAGACAAGTGCTTCTGAAATGCATCAGAAGATATTTGGAACTGTACTGAGCCATCTGCCTGTTCCATGGTAATTCCTGGAATCTTTTGAGCTTATTACAAATCAGCTGTGTTTCCCTTATTAATCTGTGACCATTTCCTGATTTATTCAGGAACTACCATGCCTCTCACTGCATTCCTACCCCCACTTCTCGGAGGAAATTTTTCATTACCACCCTGTCTGAAACTCCTTAGACTTCGCTCTCCTTCCAGGTACTGACAGTCTCCTTAATCTAGCCAGGAACAAAGTAGGAAGAGTTCAATTTTTCTGGCTTTTCCTCTCCAAGACCTTCAATTCCACTGAATATACCATGTCATTCTTTCCTCCTCAGCCAATAAATTATTAAAATGGCACTCTGAACACCTACCTTCACTTCTGGAGACACATCACTCTTTCTTGTTCTCTTCATGATTTCATCAATTCTCTGGAAACCAAAAAGAACCAGGTAAAAGGACAATAAAACCAAATACACGTAAAAGCAGTTGGGTCTATATGCAATTTCATATGTCAGAAAACTTATAAAAGAGAAACATCAGCAGAGAATAATTTCCACTGGTTTTCCACTGGTTTTGCAGATAAACACCTCGGCCCTCTAAACACGATCAAATACTTGAGAAGTGAACTCGTACCTAAAATCAACAGTTTAGATTCCATTTTTTTCCTTCCTTTCCATAGGTTACCTAAAAACCAACAAATCACCACCTGCCATTCTAGAGGACCACCCTAGAGAAAGTAAAGCTGAGGTGCAGGTCAGGAGGGGAGGCCAGAGACTGGTCTCCTAACTCTCAGGCCTAAAGTAGTTCAAAGCCTGGGCTGGATCTACGATACCTTGGGAATGGAGCTTTATAATCAGTCTCCTTAAATCCAACTTTATCACTAACTATTTAAATGTAAATGGATGAAACTCTCCAATGAAAAGACAAAGACTATGAAACTGGATTAAAATAACAAGTCTTAACTATATGCTGTTTATAAGAGACATATGGACATACATAGGTTCAAAGTGTAAGGATGGAAAAATATTTACCATGTAGACACTAAGCACCAAAAAGGCTGACAAAGTGGACTTTCAGACAATTATTACTGGAGATAAAGATGTATTAGTGATAAAGGGGTCAAATCAATAGGAAAATTTAATAATCTGAAATATGTATTCACCTAAAAGCAAAGCTACAAAAACATACAAAAGTTGACAGAACTAGAAGAAGAAATGGCTAAATCCATAATCACTGATAGAGCCTTTAACACTCTTCTCTTAGTTACTACTAGAACAAGAGGAAAGAAAACCAATGGAGATAAAGAAGATTGGAACAGCACTACCAACAAACTTGACCTAATTAGGTAATTTTCCGATCACTCTACCCAACAACTGTAGAAGAGAACTGGATTCATTTCCTGTTCTTGCCTCACCCTAACTCCTCCTGATCCTTAGCTCTTACCTTCTTCCTCTCCAGTCGCTCCTGCTCAATCTGCAGCATGATTTGTTCTCTTTCTAGACGCATCTGTTTAGCTGCCTCCTGGGCCTTTGCTTCTACTGCTTCCTTCTGACAGAAACAGGAAAACCAAGGCACAGACTTTACTAAGCTGAGAAAACAGTGTTGTGGAATTCCTTGGGATATGCACATAACCTTCTACCTTATCATCTACCTCAAAGGGAATGTTGTTTCAATATTCAGTGTGGATTTACACAGCCTGTTCTATGACAGAGCAGACGTGGCTGGGCCTCACTCACACACCCTCAGTCCACCATGCAAATTACCTACAGATATTTTCCATACTGCCTGCCAAGGTCTTTCTGTGCTGAAGGACTGTTTCCAGCCATGTGCATGTGGCCAGGAACTTCAGAAACTTTTTTTTTCATTTCAGGATTTATTTATTTATTAGAAGGAGAGGACATGTACACACAGACCCAAGTGGAAGGGGGCAGAGGAGAAGGAGAGGAAAAGGTAAAGAATCCCAAGCAGATTCCACACTGAACATGCAGCCTGATGTGGGGCTCGATCTCATGATCCCAAGACCACAACTGGAACCAAAACTAAGAGGTGGGTGCCCAATGAAATGAGCCACCCAGGCACCCCAGGAGTTTCAGAAACTTAATTCCCACAAGGAATGATCTACAGCCATGAGAGGCAGGAGCTGAAAGATAAATAATCCAGTTTCCTCACCCCTCAGAGGGACAATTCTAAGGCATATGGCACGGTCTCTTAGAGAATGCCAAAGGGACTAACCCCTACTGGTCCACCGTAAGCTACTCCTTAGTTCACTTACATGGGCTTTCCTCTCACTTCCCTACCAGCTTCCTGGGATCTTATCCCAAATAAACTACTGGTACCCAAATTCTCATCCTAGCATCTACCTTTTGGGGGATGTGAACTGACATACAACAAACATTACAAACTTCACTTTTATTGTCCAAAGTAACTCACACTTAATAACCAGCCCAGTTAGTTTAAGGAAAAACTTCAAGTAAGTATTATAAGTTATTCAAATTTAACTCATTTTACCTAATATAAAGTCCTTAAGGGAGTCCATATGAAGACTCACACAGTACCTGCTTTTCAATCATGACTTTTTCTTGCTTTTCTTTTTCTTGTTTTTCTTTTTCTTGCTCTTCTTTTAATAACAGCTCCTCCTTGGCCTTTCTCTTAGCCTCCTCTTCTGCCTTTCTTTTTTCTTCCTCTTCCTGACGCTTCTTTTCCTCTTCTTGCTTACGGGCTTCCTCTTCTAGGTGAAGTCTTTCTTCCTCTGCCTTTCTTTTCAATTCCTCTCTCTCCAGCCTTTTGAGAACATAACTGTTGTTAGGAGATGTTGACATTCTCAGAAGACAAACTACCAAAGAACTGTGTGCTGAGAGGAGCACGCAAGGTTCAACACAGTCGCAGACATGTGCACTTGAGTTAGTATCCACTCAAGGAAATGACTCAAATTTCCCGGGAAGCAACTTCAGTCCATATATATGTGTGTGTGTCTGTCTGTCTGTCTGTGTGTGTCTGGGTTCATATATATAGGGTTAACTTTAAATTCTGTTAACATAAAGAGTAATGAGGTACTGACTTGTGAACACACCATAATGAAGACACAAATGTTCCCTAGTCAAACTATAAATGACTACAGCTCCATCATTCTTACTTAATGACAATTCTTTAAAAACTAAGTGAAATAAATATTTAAAACTAAAAAGCCAAAAAAACTAGAAATGTCTTGATGGCTACAATTGTGCCAGTCAGCAATTTAAGAGCAGTGACGGCAAGCTCAAAAAGTTTACTTTGGGTTCGAATTGCTACATGACTTTTTGAAGCAGCAAGTAGAAGAAAACACTCAACAGAACCCTTATATTTAATACAGAAATTAACACCTATTTCTCATTTGTTTTACCAATCTTTAAAAATCTCTTTTAGCTTGGGGTGCCTGTGTGGCTCAGTCAGTTAAGCATCTGACTCTTTATTTCGGCCAGATCATGATCTCAGGGTATGAGACTGAGCCCCGCACACACACCACACTCAGTGGGGAGTCTGTTCGTGATTTTCTTTCACCCTCTCCCTCTGCCCCTCTCCCCACTCATGCTCTCTAAAATAAGTAAATAATTCTTTAAAAAACAAAGTGTTAAAAAATCTTTTATCTTTCTTTGCTATATGAAAATTAAATGACATTTAGAAATTTTTCATCCACAGATGAATGGTTGATAATAGAATGATAAAGAGCTCTAAGCAGTGAGGGAAAATCCTATAAAGTCCAAGTGCTTGTGGGGTGCCTGGGTAGCTCAGTGGGTTAGAGCCTGTGCTTTCCGCTCGGGTCATGATCCCAGGGTCCTGGGATCGGCCCGCATCAGGTGCTCTGCTTAGCAGGGAGCCTGCTTCCCACACTCTCTCTGCCTGCCTCTCTGCCTACTTGTGATCTCTATCTGTCAAATAAATAAATAAAATCTTTAAAAAAAAATAAAGTCTAAGTGCTTGTTTTTAGATTTCTTTTTTTTTTTAAGATTTTATTTATTTGACAGAGGGAGAGATCACAAGTAGGCAGAGAGGCAGGCAGAGAGAGAGGGGGAAGCAGGCTCCCTGCCGAGCAGAGAGCCCAATGCGGGGCTCAAATCCCAGGACCCTGGGATCATGACCTGAGCCGAAGGCAGAGGCTTAACCCACTGAGCCACCCGGGCACCCCTGTTTTTAGATTTCTAATGTTCTTCCTGTTCACAAATGTGTCATATTCCTCAGCTATAAAAATAATGTAAGTAATCATACTCATCTTACAGTATGTTACTGAATGGCAATGTGACATATGGACAAGACTGCACCTGAGGTGCCTGGCTGGTTCAGTTGGTTAAGCGTCTGCCTTCGGCTCAGGTCATGATCCCAGAGTCCTGGGACCAAGCCCTGCGCCAGGCTCCCTGCTCAGCAGAGAGTCTGCTTCTCTCTCTGCCCCTCCCCTTGCTCGTGCTCTCTTTCTCTCTCTCTCTCTCTCTCTCTCATAAATAAATAAATAAATAAACAAAATGTAAAAAAAAAAAAAAAGATTCTCTCTCTCCCTCTGCCCTCCCCCTGTCAAAAGATCAGGACTTTAAAAAGAATGTCCTCCTATCCTGCAGGAAATGTGGAGGCAATTAGCCTATGTATTACCAAAGGAATACTTTAAAAGGTTAAGAAATACTGAAAGACACATACTCTACATGAGCAAAAGGTGCAGTGTTGAAAGCACTAAAAGCACTGCTGAAATTATTAAACAACAATTATTGAAAACAACTGAAATTATTAACAAACATTCTGGAGAACTCTGGACAAGAGCATTACAGGACCTAATCAGAAAGAAACTCCAGTTCTTAGATTCCTCAATGAAAGACCAAATATGTCTAACATTAAGAGTATCAAAATGGGTGTGTTGTTAACAATATTTATCCAAAGATTAATTCGGAGCACTGTTTTAGTTGTAGTTCTTATCCCTCATCTGATGAGACAGTTTGACTGTCCTGAAGAAGTTAATACACTGTGTATGAATTAATGCACAAGCCACTTCATTTTTATCTTCATCTTCAGGGTCTGAAAAGCCATGCTGTTTCTTCTGTTTTACCATGAGGAATTCAGAGGTGCCCACTGCACCCACACACAGTAAGTGATACCATCCTCTTGGCCCCTAAGTCTCCCTAATCTTCACTGTCATGTACAACACACATTCCTTCCCACAGGCCCATTAGCCCTTGCTTGTCCCTCCTGTGACAGACAAAATACCCTCCATTAACCATACTCTGCTTCTCCTAAAGTAGGTGAAAACTAGCTTCCTATGTGAAACTGAGTCCCTCAATATCCTCTCCAAGGACAAATATTCTTTCTCTACCTGCTTAAGAAACCAGAGAACATGGATTTGGCCATTTCTCCAATGTCCTGCTCCTGCAGGCTACCCATCCCCTTGCCCTTAACATCTTGACCAAGTTCTGTTTGGACTTCACAAGACCCATATGCAGTTCTATCACTCCTCTGTCTTAATTCCTGTCATCTACTCCAAACTTACCCACTTTCCTTACCAGGTAGAAAGTACCAAAAAACTATGCACTGTGGTCATCATTCAGCATTTAGCATATGCATCCCTTATCCCTGTCAATGGCCACGGGTGAGGGTCTTTGTGTAATGACCCCCCCATCTCTCATCCTCCAGCCTTTGGCCCCTCCTGCACTTGCACCACATCCCTGACACATGCTCAGCCTTGAACTATTCAATCTGTGAACTAGATGTGGGTTTCATGATTCTCTCTCCCTTGTGTGCTTAAAAGTTTTCATTAAAAAAAAAAAAAGCTTAGGGGTGCCTGGGTGGTTCAATGGGTTAAGCCTCTGCCTTTGGCTCAGGTCATGATCTCAGGGTCCTGGGATCAAGCCCTGCATTGGGCTCTCTGCTCAGTGGCGAGCCTGCTTTCCCCTCTCTCTTTGCCCGCCTCTCTACTTGTGATCTCTCTCTCTCTGTCAAATAATTAAATAAAATCTTAAAAAAAAAAAGCTTAATCTTCGACATCCTGAACTTGTGCTTCTTTGATCTGTTTTCACCCTGTCTTTCAGCACCTTCTCTCCTAACCCGCTGTGGAAATGCTGAATTTGAGATGCATTTGGGACACTCTCAAATGAAAGCATAATGTCGCTGAGATATGGCCTCTAGGATCTAGACCAGTGGTATCCAAGAGAACTTTCTGTGATGAGGGAAATGTTTTAGATATTTGTACTATCCAATATGGTAGCTACTCACCAGGTACCTATTGAGAACTAGAAATGCAGCTGGTACAGCTGAGAAACTGAATTTTACTTAATTTTAGTGCATTTGCGTTTTGGTAGCCACATGGGACCAGTGGACAGCATAGCCCTGGCAGGAGAACAGGTCACAGCACGGAGTCAGAGGTCACCAGTGTACATGTGCTATTTACTGCCTCCCTCGTACCAGAAGTACTGAAGGTTTTCAAAACAAGATGAAATTAGCTTCAGAAACAGATGCTAAATGAGGCAAAGGGAAAATGAGGGTAGAAGGGGAGATGAGAGCAGAGTTGGTTTAGCACATCAAATGCTCACATGAAACTGTTGTGAGAAGTGTGGGCCCTAAACCATTTGAAGCCAGAGGAAAGTGGCCGAACAGGATGGAGTACCACTGCTCACAGAGGGCTTGTCTGGTGAAGCTGCCCAAGGGCTGAGGGTTGAGAGTCCAGGCAACATGTGAGGGGATGTGGGGTGGACAGAAGAGACTGAGAGGAGGGGCCAAAGAAGCAAGGGCAAGCTTGACAAGGTCAAAGTCAACAAAGAAATGGATTAAGAGTCTGGCAATTGGGAGGAATGGTGAGTGTGAGGTATGAAAATGAGTTGAGGAAATAAAGACAGGAAGTACAATCAATCCTTTTTGGAGAGGGGCTGTGCAGGAAATGTGAGAGAGAGAGGGTGATTATTAGAAGGTAAAGAACTCCCTCTTCCTAAGCATACAGCCACAATTATGTTACTTACCTGCTTAGAACCTGCAATCACCCAGACCTGTCATTTGAGGTCCCATGATTCATCTTTACCTCCTGTGACCTCTCTTCACAAATCCTATGGGCCTCAAACCAGCCCAAACACACCACTCAACAAAAAGATGTGTCACTGTTGACCAGAACACTGGAGATGGGAAAATCATCAAAAAAAGGTACAGAATTTGAAGAAGGGATAAATAAGACCTACTTGCCAAGGTCACTTAATAATTAAGGCTATTCTATTATTTATCACTCAAAATTCAGTACCAGTCTTAAAGTGCCGTGGTATGGCTTGCTTTCTGTCAAGTTAATTCTCTAAACATATTGGACTGCACTGTGTGACTACCCTAAAAGCTTCCTTACCAATTTAGTGATAAAATCCACCTTGTCCTTCAATGTGCATTCTTTTCTGAATGCAAAGATCAGAAAAGGCCGGACTGCCTGTACTTTGACCAAAGCACCCTGGTATTAACACCACAGTGGTTCTCACTCTTTGGCGAGCTATTAAAACAGGATAGGGCCTATGCCTGCATATTTTCATTGCACTTGCCAGATGGTTCCAACCCCTCCCTCCCATATTTAAAGACCACTACCATGATGTCCTCTGTTGTGCTCCAGGAATGGAGTCCCTCTACCTTGCTGCTTGTGGACGATGACATCAACTTCCACTCCATCTAGGGGTCTTTACTCAACCTTCTTCCTTCTCACCTGGGGGTCCATGTTAGGATAATTTAAGGAAAAAACATGATTTGGGAAGCAGACTCAAGATTTTTACGTCTGGAACCTCCTATCTTCAGAGAGAATCTCATTCCATGAACAGAGCTCAAACTCCCCTGATAGCTCTATAAGGCCTCGCTGGTCCTAGAGTCCAAGGGGAGAATGGGAAGCTATTGGTTAATATTTAGATCCAGGAGCTAGGAGTTTCCAGGTAGTCGTAAAAGGGCAATGTTCCACTGCTGTTAATTACACCCACTAGAAGACGCAGTCTCCCGAACACCTGCCACGCAGACCTGTACTTCTGCCCAGTTTGTGTCAATAGTCAAACCCTAGAAAGAAAGGTGAGTTGCTCTTTCTACCGCAGCCTTTTACATGAGATGGCAATGAAACTCTGAGCAGCCCCACACCTGTCCTGTTCTTCCTTCTCCAGTCGTTCCTGCTCCTCCTGCTCCTTCTGCAGCCGGGCCTGTCGTCTCTTTTCAGCCAGGATCTTCGCAGCCTCTCCTGCATCAGTGGTGCCTGCTGTAGGTTTTCCTGAGGCTGCATGAGAGGAAAAGATCATGGGAAATGAAATACTGATGGCGCTCACACAGGTAGCTGCCACTGGAAACAAAAAGTTCAACTCAGCGGGTGACAGGAAATGCTGCTGGGATGAGCACAACTGGCCACTGAGCAGAGAAGCTGCAACAAGACGGTTGTGACCCTGTGAATGAATCTCCCAGTGGAGGGTAGTAGAAAGGTGGGGAGGAGAGATGGGGGGATAGCGTGACCCACAAGAGCCACCACCGCAGTGCCCATCTGGGTGAACACAGTGTATCTCTTGTAAAAGCTTGAAAGACTAAAGACCTTCTCGGTGGGAAGTGCTGATACTGGCTGGAAGCAGCTCAACAGTCCCATGAGCTTCCAAAGCCATGACATGTATCAGTTCATCCTCTAGGAGACCCGTAGGAGACCACAGGAAGGACTCAGGGGCAATGTGCAAGCTAGAGAAAACAGCATGAGGGCATAAAGTTACCCCAGGGAAAAATCTCTTTCCTTCCCCCACACATGGATCTGGGCAGAGAGAGAACGAGCTTGTAAAAGCCAAGCCCTGGGGTAGCACTGACAAGAAGGGCCTACCTCCACTGCTCTCAGCCTTCCCTCCTGTGGCCACAGGCTTCTCAGTGACATGCTTGTCCAGAAGATGCTTCTCAGTGACATGCTTGTCCACCACATGCTTCTCAGTGACATGCTTATCCAGAAGATGCTTCTCAGTGACATGCTTGTCCACTACATGCTTCTCTGGGGCTTCCTCTCCATGCAGGCCAGCTGCCTGCTGAGCCAGGACACCTTCCCTTTCCTTATTGCTCTTCTCTTTCTCTGCTTTCTTCTTGGGTGTTTCCTGGCTGGGAAAGGTGGGACAGCGGTACTTCACAGGAGACCCTGGGTATGGTGGCTTCATATTCTTTGGAGACTGTGGATACACTTTAGATGTTGCCCTGGAAAACCAAAAGCATGCTTGAAGAGGATTCCAGACCCTGACCACACAACCTCTCGGTTCCTAGCGGGCTTGGTTTTGAAAAGCTGAACAATTTTATCCCTCAAGAGGAACAAGTGGAAAGCTTATTAGCACATCCAAAGTCCTTGAAGTACTATCACCCTAACAGGAACATAGGAATCGCTACGATACCCCTGGTGGAAGGGACAAGACTTTAGGAAGCCCAGCTGCTGAGGCCATGTCCTAACTTTACTGAAGTTTGACTGACAATGTGAGGATAAAGTGTTAGGCACTGTCCTACCTCTTTTCTTTTTTTTTTTTTAATTTTTAAAGATTTTATTTGTTTATTTGACAGAGAGAGAGACAGCGAGAGAGGGAACACAAGCAGGGGGAGTGGGACAGGGAGAAGCAGCCTTCCCGCTGAGCAGGAAGTCTGATGCAGAGCTTGATCCCAGGACCCTGGGATCATGACCTGAGCTGAAACCAAGAATCGGACATTTCATCGACCGCACCACCCAACTGCCGCTTAGCCATTAAGTGTACAGTTCAGTGGCATTAAGTATGTTCACAATGTGGTGCCAACTATCTCCACTATCCATCTCCAGAACTCTACACCTATGAAACACAAACTCCCTATTCCTGCCTCCCTCAGCCCTTGGCAACCACCTTTCTGCTTTCTCTCTGTAGGAATCTGACCACTCCAGGTTCCTCACAGAAGTGAAATCATATCGTATATGTCCTTTTGTGTCTGGCTAATTACACTCAACATAATGTCTTCAAGGTCCCTGGTTCCTTTTTTTTTTTTTTAAATTCACCATTACTTTAGTATGATTGATATCCAGTTCCTTTCTATGTGCCGAGGAACCAACTCTGCCAAGAAGTGGGCATTAGAGTTGTCTTATTATTCCTCACATTGTCAGTCAAGCTTCAGTGAAGTTAGGACATGGCCTCAGCAGCTGGGCTTCCTAAAGTCTTGTCCCTTCCACCAGGGGTATCGTAGCGATTCCTATGTTGTTGTTAGGGTGATAGTACTTCAAGGACTTTGGGTGTGCTAATAAGCTTTCCACTTGTTCCTCTTGAAGGATGAAATTGTTATATTTCATATTTAAATACTGGCAGTTCCATATGGTTCAGTCTGCTACACGATTGAGAGTGATGATTTGTAATTTTGAATTTGTAATTTATGTATGGATTACTTCTTCCTAAAGTAACTCTGCAAATGCCTCTTCCCTGTGCAACCATCTGGGTAAACTCAGCTTCTGAAGCTAGGCTGTTACCTGTATCTTCAACACCTAGCACTCACCAGGAGCCAAGCCTAGACCAGTGTACTTATTATAATGGACCTTTTTTCAATATAAGACAGGCTCCTGCATTTTACCAAAGCAATATTTCCCTGAGTGACAGTAGACTTGTCCTCAGCTTTCACATCTTTCCAGTAGCAAGAGAGATCCTTTTAGATCTTAAGAACCTCAAAAAAAGACCCATTTATCACCATAGGCTTAAGAGAAAACTAATCAGGGGCGCCTGGGTGGCTGTCATTAAGCGTCTGCCCTCCGCTCAGGTCATGATCCCCGGGTCCTGGGATGGAGCCCCACATCGGGCTCCCTGCTTGGCGGGAAGCCTGCTTCTCCCTCTGCCACTCCCCCTGCATGTATCCCTATTCTCTCTGTCTCTCTCTGTCAAATAAATAAAATCTTTAAAGAAAGATTTAAATTTAAATTTAAAGAAGGGAGGCTGTGCCAGTGCATGGCACAGTATTTAACTAGCGTGGCAGCTTCTACTTCCTGTTCTGGGAGATACTTGCTCTTGGGAACACTCTCTTAAAACTCAGAGCCACGCTGTGAGATGCCGAAGTACTATGGAGAGGCTGTGTGTAGGCATTCTATTCTGGTTCCCAGGCCCCTCTGAGCTCCAGCCAATGCCCAGCGTTAACTGCCAGCCAGGGGAATGGGCTATCTCCAACCTGCAGCTCAGTCAAGACAGGTAACTGCAGCCCCAGGTGACACTGAACCTATGGTGGAAGACTGCAATTGAGAACCACCAGGTGAACCCAAGTCAAACCTCAGAAAAACCACACAAAAGACCCCAAGACAGACCTTCCTGGTAAGCCCAAGTCAGAGCTGCGAGAATTGTTAACAAATTGTTATTTTATGCTGCTAAATTTTGGGGGGTGGGTTATTACAGTAGCAAGAGGTTAACGAGACATTCCCCATCATAATGACCAAAGTGACTTAGAATATATTTCTAAAACCCTGAAACCATTAAAGAACATTTCACACTGAAGAATTAGGAGTACAGGCAGCGCCAACACTCAGAGACAGGGACAGGCTGGGCAAACACACATGACCACACTTGATTTCCTCTCTCTAGGTTACAAGAAGAAAGCTATGCTCCATCCACATCTTTGAGAGTGTTGCTGAAGCTAGTTTTCTAAAACCCATACAAGTACCCAACAATGCAAACAATGGAAATAAACTTGAACGCTTAAAAGGGCAATGCCATTAATATGCACTGCCACGGAACAGTGGCTTAATTTATCTGAGATCCATGAGGAGAACAATGCAGTGTCAGAACCATTTATCACATGACCTGTCTGAGTTTCTGGATGGGGGTTCAAAAGGACGAACTAATTCACTGTTCAAAGCCATACCGCTTCCAGCGTGCTTTAAAGATCACACACACACTTGATCTGCACAGAGGGGAGGTTGAAAATGCCACTCCGATTCGGATTTTGTGTGTGACACCATTGTAAAACTCAAGGGTTTCTTTTTTCCTTTCTTCAACATTGAACATACAAAAAAATATTTATAAAATAGGCAAAGTATGAAGAATGACATAACAAATACCCACACACCTAAAAACTAGTTCCAAAGAAAGATATCATAAATATTCTGATTCCAGAATATTTCTATTCTGCCCTTCCCTGACCCCCTCCCCCTCCCACTCAGAGGTCATCATTACTTTGCATTTTGTATTTGCCATTTTCTTACTCTTTCTAAACATTTTTACCACATTTATATCCTTAAAAACATGCTGGTTTTACACATCCGGGAACTCAATATAAATGTCCCTGTTGATATCCTTTTACAACTTCCTTTTGCTGCTCAACTCTATGTTCCTGAGATCCACCCACTGGTTGTGGGCAGCTGCGATCCATTCTTTTTCACTGCTGTAGAGTTTGGCTGAATTTTCAGAACTTACAGTCTACCTGACTTTCCACATTTCTCAGACCTGGTTCATACCCATTGTGGTTCATCCATTAATTTTTACCTGGGGAGAAATTATCTTTCTTTTTGAATGTCTCAAAATCAAGAAATGTTTGCTTCTCCTTAGACCTCTCAACTTGGTAATTCTGGAACAATTTCCTGTCCCCAGGGCACTTCTTAAGGAGAGAATGATTCTGGTAGTTTTGACAGTATACAACAAGTCCAGCTGTGTTAGAGTTTACTATTTTTCCTGCCTGCACTAGGGATGGCATGCATAGGGCTCTGAAAAGAAAGGTCATTCCATTAACTCATTGGAGAGTTTACCCAATGCTTAACAAAAAAGTATAATGGCTTCATTTAAAACAACAACAACAACAACAACATACTGCCAGTGGTGACTGACAACTTATTACTGCCTCTCTGTTGGAGAGACAGATGAGGGAGGGAGAGAGTGAGTGCCCACGTACATGAGCTTGAGCACCCAAGCACAATGCAATCACTTCACTCCAGATGCAGGTGAAGGAGAATGCCAGAAAAGCGGAATGGAACTGATGGACCCAAAGAGAAAATGTTGAATGGATCATCTCAGCAAATCGGTGTTCCATACTTCCCAGGCAACAAATCCCTGAAGAGCCCACCATTTATCCAAAAGATACACAGACAGTACCTGAGGTAACTCAAAGTCTAGCATTCCTCCTGCTTGCCTCTTAGGGCTGGCCACGACTCATGCGGCAGCAGGAAGCACACACTGCCCTGTACAGAGCCCCACCAAATCACTTGCACTGTCCGACTGTGGCAAAGCAAAAAGATGCTTACCTGGATGTCACTGGAGAAGATGACCTCTTAGAAATGCCTCCTGGAAATTCGCATCTTCTCAAAGGAGACCCAAGGCCCACACTGGGAACAGAAGTTGTTCGAGGACTCCTCTTCATCTTCTCTGTCTGAAGGGGACACAGAATAGGTCAGCCACGGCCCATCACTGGCAATATTTCTACAATTTCTTTAAAAAAACCCAGATGGAAATGATGCACAGCTTTCTTCCAGAAGGGCCCATATGAAGTTACAGTGCTTCCCACAATGGGAATCTTTCGCAGGAAAGCACCATGAGGTCATCAATTTGGTGGTTAATATTGAGGTCATCCAAATTAAAAACAAAAACAAAAACACTTCAGCCTCAAAATGCAAAGATTTCCTACTCTTTGCTATCTTGCAAAACACTAACAACAGAACCATATTATGATTCTGGACATAGAGAAACTACATCACTCATCATCAGGGAAATGCAAATCAAAACTACCATGAGCTATCACCTCACATCTGTCAGAATGGCTAAAATCAACAACACAAAAAACAGCAAGTGTCAGCAAGGATGTGGAGGAAAAGGAAACCTCATGCACTGTTGGTGGGAATGCAAACTGGCACAGCCCCTATGGAAAACAATATGGAGGTTCCTCAAGAAGTTATAAATAGACCTACCCTATGATCCAGCAATCACACTACTGGGTATTTACCCAAAGGATATGAAAACACTAATTCAAAGGGATATATGCACCCCTATGTTTATTGCAGATTATTTACAACAGCCAAATTATGTAAGCAGCCCAAATGTTCACTGATAAATGAATGAATAAAGAATATGTGGCATAAATGTCAAAAAACAAAATGTGGTGTATATAAATACAATGGAATATCAGCCATAAAAAAGAATGAAATCTTGCCATATTCAACAACATGGACAGATCTAGAGAATATTATGCTAAGTGAAATAAGTCAGAGAAAGACAAATGCTGTATGATTTCATTCATAAGTGGAATTTAAGAAATAGAAATGAACAAAGAAAGCAAAAGATAAAAAAAAACAGACTCTAACAGAGAACAAACTGGTGGTTGCTGGAGAGGGGAGGAGATGGGTCAGAGAAGTGAAGGGGAGTAAGAGTACACTCGTCATGACGAGAACTGAGTAATGTACAGAATTGCTGATTCACTAAACTGTACACCTGAAAGTGATATAACACTGTATGCCTGTACTGGAATTAAAAAAAAAACAACAACTTACAAAAAAACTGCGAAGAGTACAAAAATACATAATCACTCAAAAAAACTACAGGTGGGTGTAAATGTGGTTAACCAAGACAGTGAGCTGTGGACTCTTTTTTAACAGTGGATGTGAGGTAACAGGGACTGCAGCTCCATAGGGACCCCCTGTCCCTGTACATCATCTCCATGGCCTCCCTCCGCAAGAGGCAGGAGGCCCAGCCTCTGTACGTGGCATGTGGTGGGGGCTCCGCAAGGGTGGAGCCCTACTGCACTTTTCCTTCTCTCCCTATCACACGTTCCCCTCTCTCCTTATTGCACTTTTCCACAACAAACCTTCCTTTGCCCCTGCCCCATGCACACATATACCTTAGCCCCCTTCCACAGTAACTGATCCTACAGTAAAACCCAATGGTCTGACATTCACTTCTCATTTAAGAACCTCAGGGCCACAACAGATTTTAAAAATACATATGGTGTTGGGGCTCCTGGGTGGCTCAACTGTCAGGCATCTTCCTTCAGCTCGGGTCATGATCTCAGGGTCCTGGGATCAAGCCCCGCATTGTGCTCCCGGCTCAGCAGGAAGCCTGCTTCTCCCTCTCCCACTCCCCGTTTGTGTTCCCTCTCTCGCTGTGTCTCTGTCAAATAAATAAAATCTTAAAAAAATACAAATGTTGTTATAAAATGAAAGTCCTATAGTACAGTAGTGTGGCAGTCTTAAAACAAGTCCACATGTCATTTGATTCTCCCCCCTTCCCTTTGAGTGTGGGTTGGTCTTAGTGATCTATTTTTAAGGAACAACACACAGCAGAACGATGGTGTGTAACATGTAATATTAGAGCATAAAAGGTGCTGCAGCTTTCCCCCTGCTGCTTGCACCCATCATCCTTGGATCTCTCACTCTGGAGGAAGCCAGCTGCCAAGTCATTTGGACATTCAAGCAGCTCTAGAGAGGTCTACATAATAAGGAACTGAGGCCAGCAGTCATGTGATTGAGCCATTCTAGAAGAGCCCCAGCCATGCTTTCTTATGACTATAGCTCTGGCCATCATCCTGACCACAGCCTCATGAGAGACGCTGAACCAGAACTACCCAGCTAAGCCATCCTCAACTTCTGACCCAAAGAACCAGTGTGTTAATAAACATTTGTTTTAAGCAGCTAAGGTATGGGGTGATTTATTATGTAGCAAGTGAAAACTAACAAAAGTAGCATGCTGTGTATAATTTCTAAATAAATACACATAATTGGGAGTACCCATTCAATATTTGTTTTACTGGTGGTGTCTAAATGATGTCAAAAATGTTTAAAGGCCATTGTTATGGATTGAAGTCTGACTTAGAACCTTAATTCTAGTTGCCTGTAGGGGTGAGACTGGCATCCTTAAAAGCAGAAAGAAGACACCAAGAATATTCCTTTTGGTTCCTGTCCCCAAGGACAAGGTCTTTAGGAATCTACTCCAAGGCACTTAGACTTAGGAAGATGCAAAAAGTTAAATGATTTTCAAAGGATGAGTGAATTTTTAAACCAAATCCACCAGCTGGGCAGTCTCTCTCTGGAGACTGATGGAAACGAAAACCCCGGTCAAGCACAAGGAGTAGTCATACTATCAAATAAACCCATCCCAAGGGGTGAGAGTTTAAACTTACTGGAGAGGCCTCTGCTCCTGCAGGGGCTCCTTTCCCAGAATCTCCCGCACCAGATGTAGACGGAGTCTTCTTCCTCTCAGCACTCCGAGTAGGAGAAGACTTGTAAGAAGATTTAAGAGCGCCAGCAGGAGCTACACGAGGACAGGCATGGGATACTAGAGAGTTACAATATCATAGCCAAAGAGACAAGGGAGCACAGGTGGAAAAAGTAGAGAGAGAAGGGAATCGGGAAGAACATATTTTTGTTAAAACATAACATGGGCAATCCACATTCTCTAAATACCAGCATGCTTTTTCTAGTATGTGCAGAGTAGACACCATCTGGAAAGACTGCCATACGCCATGCTCACAAGTCCAGTTCATTTCAGGAGTTCAAAGTCTGGGCTTTGGAGCCAGACAGAACTGGCACTGTCACCAAATAGCTGGATCACCTCAGGCAGGCTCGTCAACCTCTCTGGGTGTCAATTTCCTTGTGCAGGGGATAGTTAATATTGCAGCCCTGAAAACCGTCCTAGAAAGGCCTGCTTACAAGGCTGGCCCTTGGTCAGCACCTAAGAACTTAGATATCAGAAGGGTTCTTGCCATTAACTGACAAGTAGCATTTCACTTATCCTCGTGCCTTCAGGGTCTGGAATTTGGGCATGTAACTGGCCGAGGGTGCCTACGTGACCAGCCCTTAATAAACCCCCGTTTCACTGAGTCTCTAATGAGCTTTCCTGGTTGGCAACATTTCACATGTGTTATCACAGCGCGTTGCGGGAGGAATTAAGCACGTCCTGTGCGACTCCACAGGGAGAGGACTCTGGGAAACTTGCACCTGGTGTCCTCTGGGCGTCCCCTGCGCGCCAATTCCCTCTGCGGATGTGCCGTGCGGCTCCCACTCTAACACATCACAGCTGTGAGTACCACCGTGTGCTCAGTCTCCTGAGTGCTCCCAGCCAATCACCAAACCTGGGGCTGGACCTGGGGACCGCTCACACAACTGGTGCCAGAAGCAGGAACTGTAAGAACGACCCTGCTTCACAGACAAATGGTAAAAACAGTGTTTGAAAAAGAAAGGCTAAAGGATGGAGAAGGATGACCTTCTGGTGCCTGCTGGCTATGGAGTCAGCCACCGCATCAAACAGCAACTGAGCTGCCATCTGTTGCAAGAGGCAAAATACCTACAGTATTTGAAGAGAGCTCATCCAACTCCTAGAGCAGGCTTGTTGGACCCCCTGGCTGGTTTTGGCCATGCTGGCTAAAGTGAGGGGGAAAGTACAGCCCAGGCAATGTCTTTGGTTTTTGTTTTCTCCTCCAAGTGGGAGTGGGACACAACCTCCTTGTTTTGTGCCATCAGTGATTTGGCAGGAATTTAAAACTCTTAAGTCCTGGAACCAGAAGAACCCTCCATACCCGATGCTTTTTGCTATGACTTTTGCATAACGGAGTCTCTGCAAAAAGGGAGACACGAAAAGAGGCAATTTCCAGATAGAGATACGTTTGGAGTTTTAAAAAAATAAACCCAGGTCTATTACAGATACAGAACACCCCTCCATGGGGCCGTGACCCATGAAACTATCATCGATACTGGTTGCACTGAGTCACAGAAAAATGCTCACAGGAAAGAGCTCGTTCCCTGATGGGACCATCTGACATGGAACTGCTAGTCAGCTCTTAATTTCTGATGCAGAGTCTAATTACATCCCTAACCTGTGATTCCTGCCACAGCTGGGAGCTAGGACAGGGTACTCTCAGGGAGCAGAATTCCTTCACCCACCCCTCATGATCAGACTCAACATCGGCTGACAAGATGTCCGGTATTTGACTTGCTGGGTTGGGTGCAGTCTGTAACAACGGACTAGGAGCCTGACTCTACTTCCCTTACCTTTCTCCTGCTACACACACCTCAGGAAGGCAATGCACCTGTCCCCAGAGAGGGGTCACTTTTTTCCTAGGTTGTTCACTGGATAAATGAATGGGACTAGAGAGATGGCAGCTGATGCAAACCTACCCCGAAATTTTTTTGAAAATTCAGGATTTTGTTAAATTTTTTTTGTAAAAAGGCTCTTGTCCTTCTTGCTTTTCCTTATGAACAGTCATTTTAAAAGTAGAGGATAACTGAGAAAATGTAAAGTCTTAATTACTGAATGGGCACACTAATGAAAAACAAAACAAAACAAAACAAAACAAAACCTAGCACCTGAACTGGCGCAGGGGACGGGAAGGACATTCAGGATCTTTGTTTTCCAGAACTGTTCCTGGGAACTCTGTTCTCTTCCTGAAGAAAAACTGTGCTGCCTGTGCCAGCTGCTGTGAGCACTTCAGATGCCCATGGACTGCTGACCCCAGGTCATAGATGGTAACGTGACTTGAAGCTGCAAGGCGGGCCAGTTCCTGCACGGTCTCTAAAGACCACCTCCATATGCCATCAGCACACAGCAAGTAATGAACTCAAGTTGTTGACAGAACTCTTTGGGACTGCCCACCTCAAGCAGTCCCTCTGAAAGCAAGGACTGAACTGAATTCCTCAGGCCAGACTGAGCCCCCTGTGGTGGGAGGAACCATGTGGGGAAAGACACAGTGGGGGCCCTGTTAGCCTGTACTGCATGACCAATATATGTCCTGCTCAGGGTTCTGGAACAGTGGAAACTGTTTCCAGGGGGCATGTGTGTCCTCGGGGATTATACTCCCTGGGTGTATGTTCCGACTATTGTGACACTGCCTCAGCCCTGGCAGGCTTGGGGACAGCTTCATCTTACTGACCAGATTGTGCTGGGCTGAACTGATGCCTTGGGCCAGGTTAAAAAAAAAAAAAAAAAAGAAAATGTTCAGACACAAAGTCATGAAGGAAGCCACCTGGCTTTCTAAGACAGATCTTTATGGCTAATGGTCTCTGTTTTAACTGGCTAAGTCCAGAACGCCTAAAGAATGTAAGTGAGGTCAATACTGTAGATTGGCCTCAACCTGCTATGTGAAACCCTGCTGATGATAATTCTGCTGTGAAGATGCCCAAGACCAAGGGGATGGACCGTGCAGAAAAGAAAAGAGAAGGGGCACCTGGGTGGCTCAACTGGTTGAGCGTCTAACTTTGGCTCAGGTCATGATCTCGGGGTCCTGGGACTGAGCCCCAAGTCAGACTCCATGCTCAGCAGGGAATCTGCCTCTCCCTCTGCTGGTGTTTGCTTTTGCATACTCTCTCTCAAATAAATAAATAAATAAATAAATAAAATCCTTAAAAAGAAAAGAAAAGAACATAGAAGGCGTGACTGCTGTCTTTGGAAAGGCCAGCTTACAAGGTTGGCCCTGGCATCAGGGAACTTGTTTTTCTGGAGAGCTCCCACCATTAACTGATAAGAGTGGCTCACTCTGCCTAAGCTTTGTATAAACATGTTGTTTGTATAAACAACATGATTTATGCTCAACACCTGCTTTCATTCTGAGAGTCTGGAATTTGCATATGTACCTGACATGGGGTACCAATGTGACCAGCCTCCAGTAAAAAGTCTGGGCACTGGGGCGCCTGGGTGGCTCAGTGGGTTAAGCTTCTGCCTTCGGCTCAGGTCGTGGTCTCAGGGTCCTGGGATGGAGCCCCACATCGGGCTCTCTGCTCAGCGGGGAGCCTGCTTCCCCTTCTCTCTCTCTGCCTGCCTCTCTGCCTACTTGTGATCTCTGTCAAATGAATAAATAAAATCTTATAAATAAATAAGTAAGTAAGTAAGTCAGTCTGGGCACTGAGTCTCTAATAAGCTTCCTTGGTAGGCAATACTTCATACATGTCACAACTCATTGCTGAGGGAGAGTGCTCTGTATTGTTCTACTGGAAGAGGACTCTGGAGGTTTGTTCCTGATCTTCCCCAGACTTCATTCTATGGCTTTTTTCCTTTGCTGATTTTGCTCTGTAGCCTTTCACCGTAATAAATCATAGTTAGATTCCTAGAGAATCAGTGGTCCTGCAAATGATCTTGGGGACTTCCTAACACATTCCTTGTTCTCAAAAGGATACTTCCTACTTCCCAGGAATTTTTTTGGTTAAGAGATAATTCATGTATGATAAAATTTACCCTTTAAAAACTGTACAATTTAGTGGTTTTCAATAATTCACATTTCTATAATCATAACTATAGTCTAATTCCAGAGCATTTTCAATACTCCCAAAACAAACCCTGTACTCGATTAAGCATTCATTCCCTTTCTCCATTCCTCCAGTCCCTAGCAACCACAAATTTACTGTCTTTCTGAATTCACCTATTCTGGACAAGTCATATAAATGGACTCATGTAACTTGTGGCATTTTGTTTCTGGCTTCTTTCACTGAGCCTAATGTTTTCAAGGTTCATTGTGTAGCATGTATCAGTAATCCATTCTTCTTCATATCTGAGTAATATTCCACTTTGTGGATAGACCACATTTTGTTTATCCATTCGTCTATTAAAGAACATTTGGGTTGTTTCCACTTTGTGGCTAATGCTGCTAAGAACTAAGCTTTTGTGTGTTTTTAATTTTATTGGCTCTTTATGTAAGAGTGCAACTGCTGGGTCACATGGTAACTCCATGTCTAACCTTTTGAGGAACTTGCCAAGCTGTTTTCCAAAGTCAGTACATCATTTTACATTCTCCCCAGCAACGTATGAGGGTTATAATTTCTCCAAAGCCTTGCCAACACTTATTGTTTTCCTTGAATTTTAGCCATTCTAGTAAGTGTGAAGTGCTATCTCATTGAGGTTTTCATAAACATTTCCCTAATGATTAACAATGTTGAGCATCTTGTCCTATGCTTATTGGCCATCTGTGTATCTTCGTGGAAACACCACAACCACTCAGACTAGCAGGCTGTTTCTGAAAACTAGTCAGAAGTAGGTAGAGGATTATATGTCATTTATGTCATCTAGTGAACACACAATCTTGGGAACTAAGGCCAGATCTGCTTTAATGTGGATACAGTGTTGCTAATCTGCAAACAGAGAATGTCAGCCCTCATTAATCTTGCCATGACATGCCAAATCTTGATCGATTTAGCCAAGAAGAAGCTTTGATAGTGTGGCCAAGAGTTTCTCATACTTCAGTGCGCAGGTCTGCTGGGGACTGAGAGTCTGTCTTCCCAAAGTTCCCAGGTGATACCAATATTGGTGGTCCATGGGCCGCCCCTTGAGTAGCAAGACTCTACATATCTGTTGAGCCCTTACTGTGCCAGTCATTGTCCTATCTCATTTAATCATCATGACAATTTAAAGTATTTCAATTTTATAGATAAGGAAACTGAGGCTTTAGGGGCACCTGGGTGGCTCTGTTGGTTGAGTGTCCAACTCTTGATTTTGGCTCAGGCCATGTATCTCAGGGTCATGGGATCAAACACCAAGCTGGGTTCTACACTCAGCAGGGAGTTCGCTCAAGATTCTCTCTCTCCCTCTCCCCCTCCCCAAAGCACACACTTGTACTTGTGTTCTCTCTCTCAAATAAATACATCTTAAAAAAGGAAACCAAGGCTTAGAGAGGTTAATTAGTTTACCCAAAGTGTTCAGAACTGGTAAGTGGTATATCTGGTTATGGAACCCCAGAGACTGGTTTATAGGCAACTTTGCCAAATCATCTCTTTAAGAAAGTCTACTGACCTTCACAGCTCATGAAATAGATTCCTTTTCCTAATCCACATGCCCTCAATCAAAAATAATTTACTCACCTCTGTGACACTGAAAAGAAAAAAAAAACCATAGTAACAGCAAAACACTTGTGGGTAGAAAATGTTATAAACCCCTGAAGACTTTCACAAAGTCAGACGATGGGAAACAAAATACAAAAACTCAGGAATAACTTGTACGTCAACCAGCACCACTTTGGGCATTTTCCTCAGCGTCACCAGCTTGGCCTCTTTTACCTGAGTCACTGGCCTGCTCAGAGAGCGTGAGTACACTTCTGCTTCTGGCTAAAGAAGCCTGTGTAGGTGTCAAGAGTCGCATAACAAGAAAGGTTTCCATGGGACTAAGGTTTGTACGATGAGCTGGGGGATGGAATCAAATGAAAATTTTAAAAAGCAAAATTAAAACAAAATAAAATGTTTAAAACAACACAGTGTATGAAGCAAATTAACTTTTGGGTGGCGGAATGAAAGTGGAAAATAAAAATATTCTAGCAAAGGATGGCTTTGGAGTTTGTCATAGTAAAATAAAACAAATGATATGTCATTTGGGGTTTGTGACAGTGCGTTAATTCTTTTGGGGTGCCAGAATTCATTCAATGTGCTCTTACAGTATCACAATATTATCTGTTTCACTTGACAAGAATTAGCCCATTTCCCAAGATGTAATATGGACTCAAGAAACCATTTACTCACCAAGTAGATCTAACATTGAAAAAAGATTATTCCTATGAAACACTTTAGGGTCCTCTGTTAAAAAACATTTCATTATACAATGATTTTGTTAATGTATAAATATGCATCTGTTCATACTTCTTCCATGTACATAAGGGCAAAAATTAAATAAGAACCACAAAAACAAAAATAGCCAACGAATTATCGGCTTTAATGGAAGTAGCAGTAATCACAATCCTAAAATACAGTAACTGAAATGTCATTTTGATGGTTTTGGAATGTATTATATGGTAATGGATTAACTTTTCCATTACTTTGAATTTCTTGGGTACCCATTAGCCAGTAAATTGTTTGGGAATTAAAATTTTTCAATTTATAATCCACAAGCAGATAATTCAGTTGTCAACAATATATAATAACATACTGGTATCTTTAGGTAGTAATAAATGCAAATATAACTTCAATTTATAACCATGTGAATTAATGAAAACATAAGGAATGTACTCACTATGGAAAAGCCATATAGAATTAAAAGCAAGTAGATGTTTTCTCATTTAGCTCTCAATTAATTCAAGGTTTCTTGCATTCAGTTCAACCATGAACTGCATCAGAGATCAGCAACACTGACACTTATGGGGTCTCTGACATAAATGACAGGCCAAGGTCAATGCCAGTGAAAAACAACCAGATAGGCACTCTGGCCTTTTCAAAGTCACAAACACTCTCCTGCTTGCCCCTTGGTAATGCCTGACCTGTTAAATAGTCCACTGGCAGCTGACACTTCTCCAGTGTTGTTTTAAAACACACATTTAATGCATGGAGAGTTTCCCTCTCTTCCTTAACCCACATTCTCTGAAAGGTATAAATTCATACTTTTAGTAACTCATCTGAGCCTCCATCAGAACACGAGTAGATTTAAATCTATTCTGGAACCGGCACATCTCCTATACATATCATCCTCCACCTCAAAATGAGTGCCGGAACAGGCCACCCATCCTTTTCGCCTTATTTTAAAGGCTTCATATTAGCTCTGAACTTCAGTTTTCAAAACAGAAATGGGCAGGCCTACAAGCCTCAGACAATAGCAGAGTCCCATTTTTTTTCTTTTCATCATCTAAGTTTTCCACCTATCTCTGCACGAACACTTCTGATGTTTCTCGCTAAACAAAGAATATCATTAATTCCTGTACCTATTCAGCAACAAACTGGCAGAGCTGATGCCACTTTCCAAAGTCCAGTTAAGTGAGGCCCTGGGGGCTCCCACATTCAGACCACAAGGCTGAATGCAAATAATGGAGGCATTTGCAGAAGACTCAAGAGGGGCTCTCACAAAGACTGAAGTTAAGATGCTCACACTAGAAAGAAGAAAACCACAGAGACCAGGTCTACACGTTCACTTGCCTCGGTCTGGGGAATAGGATATTGCCACGGTGGATGAAGACAGGCGCTTACTCATGGGAGGTTCCGTCTGCTTTGGCAAATTCATGGTTGATGTTGAAAGTTTGTCACATGCTGCAGAGAAACGCATTAAAGATATTGGTATTCACACCACTGTAGACTGAGAAACACATATCCCAAAGTGTTCTTCCTGTCCTCATCCACACGCCTCCTATACTCCTGTGGCACAGCGCCTGGCTTCCATCACCCTGTGATGCACTTAGCCTATCTGGAAATGCCCAGGCCACCGCAGCCACCAGTGTGAAGCAAGATCTTCTCTTCAATTTCAAATATTAAACCTCACTCAACTGTTCAACTAAAACCATGCTAATCCCACTGGCAAATCATTTCCTGTATCCAGGGACTTTCAAGCATATTCAGACTACACAAAAACAAAACCAATCCGGGCCCAGAGACAAATCACCACTGGAAAATGTTCTATGGTCTGAGACTGTGTGAGCTGAAAGCAGACTTTCTCTGGAGGTTATCTACAGGCTCAGGGTGAAGAAGTAATATGGAATTCAAGTAGCTGCATTTAGAGCAGAACAACCTTTTTTTTTTTTTAAAGCAGAACAACCTTTAACAGTTGACTTCTTTCTCCTCTCAAGAAATGGGATCACAATAGCCCTTTTTCTAATGCTGCGACCACCATTGGTTAGGATTTTAACATGTGGTCCTGTGTTTGGTATTCTTTACTTCCAGCCATTGTTTTAGACTGGTTTCTAAATCAAACCATTATAGCAAATGAAGAGGTGCTGAAAATGCCCTGTCAAGCCATATCAGAGCCTGAAGCAAAAGGAAAGATGTACACCCTTGGCTTTAAAGGAAGCAAACTCATCACTAATAATGTTCAAAATCTATTCCTCTCATCTTGTTTCCGAATGAGAAATTTGCTGTGTTTTACAATATGTCCTGACCAAGTGGCAATCTTAAATAAGTTTTAATTCTCTTAAGCTGAAGTGAAATTATAATACATTCTATTCTGGTCTAAATAAAACATTTAAATTTACAACAATGTAAGTTTTAACATATCTACTTAATTTTTCAGCATTTTTTCAACTACTTTAATGAAAAAAAATCAGTAGAAATTATGTGAAACTATGTGTAAACGGGTACACATTCTACCCTTTTGTCTCATGCTCCAAAATGGCTGGCTCAGTATGGTACTTGTCTTTAGAAACTTGGTATTTTGTTCATCATGGATTGTTCTGCATTAATTTTGATTTATCCAAATATTATTTCATCTTGATAAGGTGTTCCCTTAAACTGTATGCCAAAGTCAAGTACTTGGTTGCCTCAGCCTGGCCCTAAGCCCTAGGTGGATTCCCAAGGGGTAATTATCAACTCTACCTACTGCCCCTCTCTTTTAGGAGAAGACCAACACCACACTAAATTCAATCTGGCCCATGGAGCAAATTCTCTGCTACTCAGCAACACTAATAAGGATTTTTCTTTGTCAAAGGAATGCTGGAAACCAAAAGTATTTATTCCTACAGCTATAATTTGACCTGTACTGTTGGTAACATCCCTTTTACATCTTGTTTTTTCTTTGCCAGCCAAAGATAGATTGAATTTCTAAAGTCTTTATTAACTGGGAGAAAAGTTTTACTAATTCCGTTCTTGTTCTAGACCCTAAGAATTTCCCAGGCCTGAATCCAGAAACAAAGAGCCTATTAGAGAGACAAAATAAAAAAACAAAGCAAACATATCTCTGTTTGGATTCCCAGTGTTAGTACTGATAAACTCCCTACCACTCTGTCTCAAACACCTCTTCTGGGAATCCAGCACATTAAGACCCAGAACTCTGTAAGAGTACAGGTTTTGGTAATCAGAAGTGAGTCGAACACCCTACTATATAATGCCTAAAACCAATAATTAATGAGAGTGTTAAAGATCTAAATGCACAAAAGTCAAACACTGACAAAATTTTCAAGGCAGAAGGTAGTGAGTTAAAGATGAAATGTCTCCAGGGCACTAAGGGGTAAGGCATGCACAGCTCCATGATGACAGAGGAACACAGAAATATGGGCACATCATTCACATTTCTAGAAAAAAAGTTCTAAGAGGTCAGTCTAAGAAATCAATTGTAAAAGCGCTTGAGACAGACACAGTGATGGAGGCGAATGATTAGAAACAGTCGTCACAAAACGCCATGGCACGGTGAAGCTCAGATATACCGTTGGTGGACTCGGCAGTGGTGGCAGTGGTCCCTGGGTCCAGAGGGAGGGCGCTGGCTGCTAAACCTAGAGGAGGGGGTGGGGTATTTTCTGATTCACCTACACAGCAAAAAATCAGAGCAAAGAGAGGTAAAAGAAAAAAGTCCCAATTTCTGGTTGACTTTAGTTTCTAATTAGGAAATTAGAAAAAGTAACTGAAATGGGTTACAGACTTCCCAAAAAGAAAAAAAAATAATAAAGTATATTCACTGACAAAAGGTTAAAAGCACAATACAGCAAAGTCAAACAACTGTACTACAAACAGAACCCATCTGTTCTCAGAAAGCTAGTATACAACTCCTATCTAACAGAATGATAAAAATCACAGAAAAGAAGACATTGAAGTAAGAGAAAGGCCACCCAGAGACTAGTAGCAGTCTGCACATTAAACACTTGAAAATTTAAAGATGAGTATGATCTGGAAAATGAAATAAACAAGTCACCTTGAAACAAAATTGAAAGAGCAACAAAAATGAATGATGAGGAGGGAAAACCCCTAGCCCCTTTGGGAGGGTAACCGCTGCTTAGCCTTTCCAGGCCGCAGTACAGCAGTGACTTAATCTACTGCCGTTTGACCTTCCCTGAAATCAGACTATCGCTAGGCTTGCCAGGTGCATCTGGTTAACCAGGCTCTGCATTCATTTCCTTCACTTTTCTTTTGCTTTCCCTTAAAGCCCAGTTACTGTATTAACTGCTATTTGCTAGCAAAAAGAAAGCATGGACTCCCTTCATGAGAAATGCATACACAGGAAGCTTGGCATCACATCTGAAAAAGGTGCCTGCAGATGACTACAAAGCCTGCCCCAGATCCAACGGACACCGGCCTGTGCCCATGATCAGCCGCCCGCCCCATGATCTCCCTCGGGGGCCCTGCAATGCAGGGACAGCCCTATACTCACCATCACGACCTCCAGGCCCGTTGGCCAGTGAAGCTCCCCACGAGCACTTCTTCTTCAGCTCCAGTTGCTGCGTGCGCTCCAGAGACCGGCGCATCATCGCCTCCAGCCGCTCCTGCCCAGTTCACGCAAGGGAGAGCAACATAACCACCCAGCCCCACTGCGCTGCCGTGCTTCGGGGCTCAGGCTGAGTCACCAAATGAGGCTCTCTGGGCTCAGCATCCAAAACCCAGGCCCACGTGCTCTCCACCACACTAGCGAGATCTTAGTGGGTGGAGAGTAAACAATGAAGCTAGGGCTGGCTCCCAGGGGATAGGCTGCTGCAGCAGCCAGGCCTTGATTTGTTTAAGAATAATGCCAGACAAGCATTAACTCCTTCAGGCCTGTCTCAAGTACCATTTTGCTTCATTGACTAGAACTGGAATTGTGCTCTGGAACCAAGGGCATTCTCTCTAGTAGAAAGGCATGAAGCCTTTGAGATTTGAGAAAATTTACATTAAAATACAATTTGAATTTATATAGCCCTAAGCACAAATTTTGGGGGTAATAAATGGCTTTGAGATCTATTTTACCAGGCCTCATTTTCATCTTAGAACTTCTTAAAGGGGAATCCATTTTTTCTACATTGTAACATTTTCTTGCTACATAGTTTCTGGGAAAAATGCAACATATTTCAAGATTTAAAAGAGACAAGAGTAGAGAACTGCCTGGCCATAAAATAAAGGATCTATACATTCTCAAGGGGAGGGGAGGAGGAACTAAACAGTTTTCAGCCAGAAGAGAAAACAACAAAAACCAGGCTTCTCCCTTACCAGAGCATTTATTAAAAGCACTCTCCTGTGTTAATCAAAGTGTTGTTTTCATAAAGTTGGGTCTGAATGCCGGCAAATACTTCCTTGGCACTGGAGTGAAGCTGTTCTAATTTTGCATTCCCCACCACCCCAATGACACTGCAAATACCAAATCCTCTCCCTGCCTCTACTGGACAAGGCCTGAAGCAAGGTAAACAGGTACACGATGATGCCCTTTTGCTAAACTTCATAAAACCCAACCCTGAGGTGCTCTAGGAAATGGGGTCATCCTAGCCCAACTCCAAAACAAAAAGATAAATATTTTCTCATGGCGTGAATAAAAAGTAAGCAAAATTAATTTGATTAAGTTGATTCACAACTTAAGAATCAGGGAACTGCTCCTTTATTTCACTTATAAGAAACACAGAAAGGTCACTTAGGAGGTATCTGCATCTACCTCTTTTGTCTATACCAAGGGAATGGGATGAGCATTACCCACATCTCGGCTTCCTCTGCATAATTTTTCTCTGAATAGCACTTTGCTAAGAGATGGCCTCTCCAGGGACCTCTGAGTAGAAAGGGGATTTTTTTTTTCTCCTGTAAATCTCAGGTTTTTATTTGCTCTAGTTTTTGGCTGAGACTCTACAATCATGAGTGTGCATTTCCTAGCAAAGTCCTGTCCTCATGACCCTGGCCCATTAAATTCTGACACCCAACCCCCGGGGCCTACCCAAGAAAAGTTGGTGGTTTGGAGGAACTAGAACTTTTTAACTATTCGATACTTGAAGTACAGTCACTTGAGAAAGGGGCTGAAAGGTATTTCAATTATATGGATTTAACATAAAATATTTAACCAGTGACCTAATTTAAGTGTTAAAACCTTTTACCTCAGAGTGAATTTAGTATTGAGTGGGTTATGGGAGATTTCCTCCATGCTTAAAGGACCTCACAAGAAAGTCTTTCATTTATCAGGAGACCAATGACAACAAATAACACCAAGACTTGCCAGCCAAACTTAACACTGAGCAGCTATATAGGGGTATAATTACAAGGGAATGCTCACCCAAATCCAGACTTGCCACTAGACTGTTCAGTTACCTTAAAAACAAACAAACGAACAAAACTTCTACCATCTACCTCCAACCCGCTGAGCTGCTCCAAATTCCATTGTTTGAGATACATTCCTTTGAATCATAAGCAGGCTTATGAAAATGAAGCTATCCCCGAGCGAGGACACAATCACTCTGTGTCACGCAGAGATGATGAAAAATAGGTGGTAACCGAGCTCTACAGTAAGGAAAATTATGGAACCCAAATCATCAGAATGGGGTGATTCAAACATGTCAAAAACAAAACTGGTCCAGGGGTGCCTGGGTGGCTCAGCTGGTTAAGTGCTTGGCTTTGGCTCAGGTCATGATCGGAGGTCCTGGGATCGAGCCCCACACTGGGCTCCCTGCTCAGCAGGAAGTCTGCTTCTCCCTCTCCCTCTGCCCCTCCCCCTGCTCATGCTTGCTCGTGCGCGCTCGCTCTCTCTCTCTCTGTCTCTCTCCCTCTCAGATAAATAAGTAAAATCTTAAAAACAAAACACGTCAACTTCACTCTTGTTAGAGGTTAGTCCTATATAACTCCCTATTACTCTGTGTGTGTGTGTGTGTGTGTGTGTGTGTGTGTGTGAGTGTGTGAGAGAGAGAGAGAGAGAGAGAGAGAGAAAGGCAGGAAAGGAATTTTTCTATTACTTCATTTGATGGAATGGGGAAGAGGGCACCTGGGTGGCTCAGTTGGTTAAATCTCTGATCCTGGTTTTGGCTTTGACTAACGTTATGATCTCAGGGTCATGGGATTGAGCCCTTTATCAGGCTCCACACTCAGTTTTAAGTGTAGAGTCTGCATGAGATTCTTTCCCTTTCCCTCTCCCTCTGTCCCTCTGCCTGTTCATGCTCAGAAGCACAGTCTCTTTCTCTCAAATAAATAAAATCTTTAATAAAATGGGGATGACATTACCTGTATCATCAGATCACTCAAGTCTGTAAAACAACGACTAGCATAGTAAGTCCTTAACCAATACTAACTGAATCCAAACTGGTAAAGGAAAGTTATTAACAGAACAGTTTAAAGCAGTGATTCTCAAATTTGAGTGAGTTCGCATCAGAATCCCCTGGAGTGCTTGTTAATAAACCAATTGCTGGACCCCACATGCAGAGTTTCTGATTCCATAGGTCTGGGATGGTACCTGCTAAGAATTTGCATTTCTGACAAGTTCCCAGGCAATGTGAATGCTGCTGGTCCTGGAACTCACTGTGAGAACCACTGGTTAGCGTAAAGGCTGAGCATGAGAGAGCATGCGAGAAAGTTCAACCACACCAGAACAGTAGTAATAAATGTTAGAGCTGCATACTGCATTCTGAAATTCCTGCCAAATTCTTGCTCTCCTGAGTATCATCACATGATCAATAGAGGATGGGGAAAGGGCAAGGCAGATTCTTGTCCTTAGAATGTCCTCTATTGGGTACAGCTTAGTGGAAGGAAAGAATGAGGGGACCTCACCCTTGACCCTTTAGCTCTGGCCCTAGATCTGCCTGGATGAACTCAGAGAAGAAGAACCAAGACCAAGGTGACTCATGGAACTGGTCAAGGAGTATAAAAGGCCTCCAGGAGGGCCCAGCCTAGGCACTGTTGATGACCCAGATAGCCATCTCTGGTAAGAGTGGAGAGCTGGCTGTGCCTTTTCCTCTGCTGTTACTACGTGTGTTCTTGAAAAAACAGTGTGGTGACAAGCCCCCAAGGGGTTCTCAGTAGGGCTCTGCAGGTCTTTCTCTTTACGAACAGATGTTGACACCTGGCCAGAAGGCCATATAGTCACCACAGCCCCATGCCAGACAATGCCCTCTGAGATCAGCTAGCTCTCAGTTTAGTGAAGTTTTGGCTTAGGTGAGTTTAGAAATTTTTCCTTTTCACACTCATTCTGGTGGGTTTTGTTAGGTATCAAATAATAAGAGTTTGATAAGTATGAGATAAAGCTACTCTTTGAAAGAGGCCTTTCCTGGTTATCTGTTTAGCGTGAGGAACGTGAAGTTGGCTTCACCAAATCCCATTTCTCAGGGCCTCTAGTCAGGAATCTATACTCCCCCAATGGGAGAATGGGTGAATACATTGTGTTGTCAGTCCTAACCGAAGCAAGTGACAAGGGTTTATTCTAAAAGTTTGATTCTTGGGAGCTGTGTGGCATGCAAGGATTAGAAGAACCCACCTTGAGGAAAAAGCAGCCTTTACTGAGAGAATGAGCTCAAGATCAGTATCTCAAGCAGACACTGGACATCCCCTTCCCCAGAACAGGCCTGACCAGCTTCTAGCCCTGGCAGTCCTCAAGATCTCTAGAAGCCAAGCTGTTTGTGGTGGCCACTTCTATACTGGCAGACAGGAAGTCTCCTGGCTCAAGTCTGGGGCTAACTCACACAGATGTGAGGAATTATAAAAAGCAACATCATGGCAACTCTAAGGACATGGAATCAGGACAGGGCAAGGAAGGAGGTGTGGAATCAACAGGTCTTTTATAAGATCCTAGTAACTGCCCCAGAGAGGTATGACTTGGCAGGCAACCCAAACAATTTCCAATAAGCTACAGAAGCAAAATGGGCTGCCATGGAATGAACCAATCCTACAGAGGCTTCTATCTGGTTGACAGAGACAGAACATGACAAGAACAAGAAAAGACTGGAGAATCTACACAGCCACGTGCCAAGCAGTCAGTAGCCCTGCCAAAGATTTCTAGTGAAACAGGAGGACAAATGCAGGATTTTCCTTTGGAAATGCAGGTTTTCCCCTGCGGTGTAGACCTATCCGTCCTCTCCAAAGATCACACACAAGAATGCCAAACAGGTCTCATCACTAGCAGACTGCTGACACGATGTGGTGTGTGGAAAGTCCCTAACCTCCACCTGGGACTCTGGGGACCCCCAAGGTGGGAGCAGTGGCAGAGGAAGTCTGCCGTTTCCTTGTGTCGCTACACAACCACAGGAGGCCCAGACTCTCAGCCCTGCCCTGCTGTGTCTGGGGAGAAGAGAGAAGCAAGTCCCGCTTGTATGTGTAGTGACTAAAGGTCAGGCAGTATCTCCCATTCCCCATTATCATCCATGTTAAGAGTGAAAGGCAGCACACAAAGCAAACAGAAAATTACCTGAAGAGCAACCATTAGAGATTCAGCCGAAGTCACTAAAGGGAATCTAACATTTTTTTTATTTAAAGATTTTATTTATTTATTTGACAGAAAGAGAGAGAGGAGAGATCACAAGTAGGCAGAGAACCGGGGGGGGGGGGAAGTGGGCCCCTTGCCGAGCAGAGAGCCCGATGTGGGACTCAATCCCAGAACCCTGAGATCAGGATCTGAGCCGAAGGCAGAGGCTTAACCCACTAAGCCACCCAGGAGCCCCAGAATCTAACATTTCTGAACACTATTCTGTGCAAGGTGTTTTCCTGAACTTTTACAGAAGTCACTTCCTTTCATCCTTGTGGCCACCTCTGTTTTGGGCTGAAGAGACTGAGTTAGAGGGTTATGAGGAACTAGGTGACTTGTTCCTGGCTACCAACTGCCCAGGAGTAGAGCTGGGACGTGCAGAGAGAGCAGATGAATCCGTGCAGCTGCCGGGCTATAGCCAGCAACGGTGAAATGGGGCTGAGACCCTTGAAATGACTTTCATTTGCCAAGAGGAACAAAGCAATGACCATTTAAACGAGTGCTTTGTGGATAAAGATGGGTCTAATTGTGTGTGTGTGCTCACGTGTGCACACATGTGCACATATTCATTTTTTTTTCATTTAAAAAAGAGGAAGGGGTGAAAGATGTATAGTTATAAACCATACAGATATTTGAAAAGATACCAAATCTATACAAATGTCTCTGACTCTTATGGAGCTGGTGATGAATAAACGTCTATACTATTCATCTTAAATGATGAGTCATTATACCTTATGAATAAAAAATGATCATCACCTGATACAAGGCTATGATTACATCCTTAAAATATATTTGTTAAGAAAATCTATACCCAAATATGCTTTCTAAATATATTTTCAAAGTTTAGTAATAAAGGACTCTGCAGTGGTAATAACATTCTGTTTCTTTTTTAAAAGGTAACCGTAGAGAAAGGATGATTAAAGCAAGGAACTGCATTAAAATTTAAATATACTAGCATGTTTGTATTTGAAAGCAGACTGTTTTCTGTGAGTAAGAGGGCCAAGATACCATCTGCCCCCACATCCCTTTCTCCAGCCCTTCGTGCAGGCTACATCACCAGGCCTCTATCCACCAGCCTCTCTGAGTCTCAAAGTCAGAGAGGGTTAGGTCTGGAACAGACCTTGGAGACTGCCAAGTTCAACCCCTCACTTCAGAGATAAACAAATCAAGCAAATACCCACACAGGCCAAATGGCTTGTTCAAGCTCACAGAGCAAATGAACACCTGAGGTGAATGGGTAAGTCTCTTCATTCTTTGTCCAGGGCTGCTTTCACTAGACTGGGTCTTGCTGCCGAGAGAAGGCAGGTTGAGGCACCAGGGAGAAGGCTCAGTAGTAGAATTCTCTAACATCCCAGACCTGCGCAGGCCACTCAGTGGCCCTTGAGCACCAAGCCGTGTGGGAGCTGCTGCGATGGCTTGAAGGTCCTGGAACCTTACCTCCTCCTCCCGGAGCTTCTGCTTCCTCTTCTCCTCTACAGCTGCCCTCTTCTGGTCCTCTCGCTGCCGCTGCTCTTCCAGTTTCCGCCATCGCTCCTCAATTTGCTTTTCATACTGGAGTTTCGCTCTTTTCTGTTTTTCCAGGATCTGCTGCTCCCGGGCAGCTGGGGGAAGGAAAGCAGAAGAGAGGCATCATTACCAGAGCACCCCATGCGGTTCGGGTTAGCCAAAATGCAGAAACACGAGCGAGACAGAAAAGCCCAGTGGGATTCTAGGCCACAGAGACCGAGATGAAGGGCTCTGGCATCTCTGCCACCACCTGGGTGATGCTGACCATGCAAACCACATCATCTCTCTGCCTGGATTTCCTCTGCTGTAGGTGGGACCCTCACGTCTGCAAACTCACAGTGTGGTAAAGATTAAATGAGACCATGCGTGGAAAGTACACGGCACACAACTGCTGTTGCTATCGCCGAGTCAGAGCCGCCGCAATGGCTAAGCCATACCCTAGGCTGGCCAATGAGTTCAAAGAGTAGAGCCAGTGAAAATCACAATGACTGTACACGTACCATTGCAAGGGCACAAACTCATGATATTCCCCTCAAGACATTTCCTAAGGACCACCTACCTGGTGGTGTCACAGGGAAGGGTTACCTATAAAACAGCGTGTGAACCAACTGGCAGTGGGCAGTCAAGAAGAACCCGAAAACTCACTTGTGTCAATTCAGAGGGGAAACCACTATTTACCTACATCACAGTATCCTGTGGGGAACACATCGTACTTATCCATCTATAGTTTGCAAGAGCTAAGAAAGCCTTTTTCAACTGGGTTTCCCGTCCCAAAAGAGAAAATGTCTTAATTGCTAATTTTCTGAGTTCTGAGGTTGGCCCTTCTAGATGCCCTGGAAAGAGCCTGAGTGAGTGCACGTAGTGGTCGCCTGAGGAGGTGGGGGCTGTGAGGAGGTGGGAGCAGTTTCTTGTTATCCACCATCTTACCTAAAGTCCTTAGCAGAGTATCTAGAACATAGCAGAGGTACCATGTTTGCTACGTGAGTAAATGAACTACTCTGAGAATTAAATAACAATTGCGAACATGCCAAAGCGTCGATTTGCTCCCCAGTGCTCTATGTTCATCTAGCAATTACTCTAGCTCTCTTTCCATCCAGTCATCAATTTCTAAGGACTTTCAGGAAAGACACCACCACATCTCTACTCCCTTGGACCTAAATAGCCAAAGGGCAGAACTTACCAAGACATTTTTCTCTTTCTTCTCGTCTTTCTTTAGCTAGTCTTTGTCTCTCATCAGATCTCAAAAATCCATCCATGCCTATAAAAAATAAAACATGATAAAATAATTCTTCCCCGGGGTACCTGGGTGGCTCATTTGTTAAGCGTCTGCCTTCAGCCTGGGTCATGATCCCAGGATCCTGGGATCGAGTGCCGCATCAGGCTCTCTGCTCGGTGGGGAGGCTGTTTCTCCCTCTCCCACTCCCCCTGCTTGTGGTCTCTCTCACTGTGTCTCTGTCAAATAAATAAATAAAATCTTAAAAAAAAAAAACACAACTCTTCTCTCTTTCCCTACCTACTGAGTGCCAGGGGCCACTGGTCCTGCACCCTGGGTCTGGCCACACACATACATCATCCATAGCCACCATTTTACCCACAGAACCCTAATAAACCATTCCCCACCACACACGCACACGCACACACACACACGTGTGCACACCTGCAGCCAGGCCCTGAGAGCTGAGGGGTGCCAGCCACAACTTCCACACTCACCCACCAAGCTGTGCTGTTGTGGCCCCAATGCCAATCCTGGAGAACCATGCCCTTTCCCTCTGTCCCCAAGACTGGACCTAGAGTCAGAAAGTGCCAGGGAGGCCTAGAAGGGTACAGAAAAGCCCACCAGGCCTCCCCAAGCCTTGTTCCCAGGGGAGAGGAGAAGCACAAAAGTGGATACAATTATTACACAGACAATCAATGTTCTACTTTCTGAAGGGAGCCAACTGCTAAGCAACATGTACAAACTCCTTGGGTAAGTACTGAGAAACGCAACACTCAAGTTTGATTTTGGTTCTGCTAAATTTGCTCCAATGTCAATCTTAGTATTTTAGAATCAAGAAGAAGAAAGATAATATATTCCTGTTTGTCATTTTAATATCTACAACAAATAAAACAAAACAGATGGCAGCTCCCCCCACCACAAAATGTCTAGGAAACATCCCAGGAACTCCACATCTCCACCCATCTTCTACAGGACCATGAAGGGCTTTCTAAATCAAAGATCAAATGATCTTCATGGTCATTTTAGGATTACAAATAATTTACTGCACTCAGTCACAATCAATCATTCATGAGCATTATTTATATAATGTTCCAGCACAACATCTAGGAGAAATCAGCTTCTGTGTTAGTACGACCAAACTCACTTTCATAGTCCCTGGGCCCTCCTTTCTGGTAGCATCACGTGCTGACCTCTTTGTGTGCCCTACTGCCACAGTTACCTGCACCCCTTTGGGGAAGGTTCCTGTAACTGTGCAGGAGAGAGACCAGAGACTTGGACTTGGTATAGGCAGCAGGAATGCAGATAAGGACGGATGTGATAAACACTGGATTGTCACAACTCCCCATGGGCATCTGATTTTGGAAGCCTGGATTACATATCAGGAATATTAAAGTTCAAGAGAGAAGTACTAAAGAATCAACCTGGACTATAAAAGCCATTACCCACGTTTGTTTTAGTTAACTCTTAACCACGATACTACCAACATAAACATCACCAAGAATTTGAAGGCCCAACTTCTTAGCTCAGTGCTGGCTCCCTAGAGTCTGACCCCAAAGAGACCCCAAACTCTCTTCCCAACTTGACATCAGGTGAGTTTCTTCCACACACCTTCCAGTTCAAAATACCCCTTCTCCCACACCCCAACACCTATTTAAACCCCACCCACCTTCAAGACTCCACAGTTCCCCAGAACTCATGATGCTCTGTGGTTCCCATACGGTAAGCAGAAGATTAATTTCATTCTGCTTGGCTGCAGAGTTCTCTGCTTCAGTCTCCCTGGGAGGAGAGAGAGGCTACAGAGGCAAGGGTGGCTTATGTATGTCTAGGTCACCCCAGCTCCCGGCACTGCCCCTCAACAGTGCCCCTTAGGTGAACACACAATGCTCAAAGGGAAGCATGCAGTGGTGGAAGGGAGACAAAACCAGGTTTTTCTTTTCTCTAAAACACCTTCAGGCTCTACTGTCTGCCTCAAGAGTTTGATTAATTAGAATTTACTCTGTGAAAAGTTACAAAGAGTAGCTTAGCTTCTCTGGACAGATGCTGGCTTGTGTCAGCACCCATATCAACCTATCCATCCCAGCACGACCGGAACCTTACTCTGTATTGCCCATGCCACCCTTCAGATATTAATGGGCCAGCCCTCTACCTGAGATACAGCCTGAGAACCAATGAAAGTGTTCTTCAAACAGAAGAAAAAAACTGAGGGAAAAGGGCCAAGCACATCTGGAACTGGCCACATTACCCACATGCTTTACAAACACAAGTTGCTCTGTTCCAGGGATCTGCATGATTTTAGGCTGCCCCCTTGTGGGCACTTGTAAGAGTCACAAATACAAATAATTTCCCTTCATTATCGTGCTCGGGGATGTCCTCACGTGCTTCATCAAACTAGGAGGTGACCTGTTACTATGGATCAAATGCGCTTCTCGGATTTACTGGGCTCAATCACTTTATGATGCAGGTACTATTTCGACCCTCACAGGTACAGAAAGGAAGGCACTAAGAGGTTAATTAACTTGTCTGAGGTCACACCATCAGAAAGTGGAAAAGCCAGATCCCACCCACGAACATGACTCCAGCATCCACACTCTTAATTACTGCTCTCCTGCAAAGGAAGAAATGTAACAGCTTGTTCTTAGTGCCTATGAACAAAAAGCTGTAATCCAGTATCACACACAAGGAACAAATCCCACCCTTGTCCCTGGAATAAGCCTGCGAAAGTGGGGAGAGGTCCAAGTCCAATTCGTTAGAGAGGGATCAAGTAAGAACTACTGTGAGCCACACACCGGCTGGCTTGCCGCAGATAGGGCCACTACCCAGGCCTAGTAAATATCTGCTTCCTCTTCAGACTGATACTTTGGAAATGTTTTAGAGAGGCCGATGCTGGGTGGGAAAGGAGGTTAGCCAGAGAATGCTGGGAACAACCACGAAAAGCAATTCTGCTTTGGCCTCACTAAGGAGTGTGAAGCAACTCAAACAGTCCAACCTGGGTAACCCGGAGTGTCTGCACCGTCACACACAGCCATGAGCCATGTACGCTACTTCAACTGAAGATAATCAAAATTAAATGGAATTAGGGGAGCCTGGCTGGCTCAGTTGGAAGAGCATGTGACTCTTGATTGCACGGATTGTGAGTTGAAGCCTCACACTGGGTGTAGAGATCACTAAAATAAATAAATAAAATTTAAAAAATTAAATGCAATTAAAAGTTCAGTTCCTCAGCACACTGGCCACATTTCAGACACCCACTAGCCACATGAGGCTGGTGGCCACCATACTGCAGAGCAGTGGAAGAGAAAGAGAAGTCCGGCAGCTCCCTCTGTGATTCTCTTCCTTCACACTTAGCTGCTCTGGGACACATGTGGATAAGGAAGATGTCATAGTTCACTCGAGGTTGAGTTTTGCTGGGTGAGTAAGGCTGAAGTAGGGCCTCATTCCTCAACACAGAGTTGGCCTCTTCTGATTACAAGAAGAGTCAGGCAACTGTTTCTAAAATATCCATTTGAAAAGAAGCCAAATAATTAACTCATATCTCCAACTTCCATCTTGTGACTTTCCATGATCCTCCAGCAGCCCCTGCTGAGAAGCACTGGGCTTATCCCAGGGTAGGGCACAAACCAGACCACCCCTATTTGTTATGGGCTATGGACTTAACCAGTTAATTACCACGAGTGCAACACAGCCAGAGGAATCGAGGTAGACCATGATTAATACATGAACATTAACAATACCAAGAGACTTCCAGTATACTTAAGGGTTAACGCTCAATTTTGTTCCTAAAGTTAGTCTTCTTTCTGTATGGCCTGAAATCCTCAAGTATTTAGTTTTCCTACCCAACCAATCATCCTTTTTCCATTTTACTTCATACTGTATGCGTACCCTTGTCTCTTTTTTATTAAACCAGAGACCCAATTTTATGTTTGAACTCCATGAGAAGAGATGGAGAACAGATCTGTGCTTGTCAGGGAGTAGGGAGGAGGGGCAGAAGGGAAGTGGGTGGCTATAAAAGGGCAGCATGAAGGATCCTTGTGGTAATGGAAATGTCCTCTATCTTGACTGTATCAGTGTCACCACTCTGGCTGGGACAGTGCTGCAAGCTAGTACTGTTGGGGGAAACTGGGTAAAGGGTACATGGGATCTTTCTATAGTATCACTTATAAGTGCATGTGAATCTACAATGACCTCAAAATAGAAAGTTTAATTAAAAAACAATATGGTCGGGCACCTGGGTGGCTCAGTTGGTTGGGTGACTGCCTTCGGCTCAGGTCATGATCCCGGAGTCCTGGGATCGCGTCCTGCATCAGGCTCACAGCTCCATGGGGAGTCTGCTTCTCCTTCTGACCTTCTCCCCTCTCATGTTCTCTCTCGCTCTCTCTCTCCCTCAAATAAATAAAAATCTTAAAAACACACACACACACAATATGGTCCTGGGGTGAAGCCCTGGAGGAGAACCAAAGACAGAGAGAGAGAGCAGAAGACACCCTCCTAAAGGTGTCCCACCCAGGAGAAGGACAAGCGGTACACATGTCAGAGCCAAGCTGCCCCATTCCTGATGAAGTAATGCTTCCCAGGACAACAGCATGCAGGTAACGTGCGCTACTGAAATGGAGGCCTTTTTCTGGACAACTCATCCCATGGAAATGAGAATGAACCAGAGATAGTAAGCATCTAAACAACTATTTTATGTTAACAGAACAGCATACGATTTCATTCTTCACTAATGTGCTCTTGCTTGGAGTAACTTCCGTTATCCTTAGGCTATAGCAACACATTTTTTAAAAAACTAATTTTAAAATGAATTTTATTAGCCCAAGCACTCTCCCACTAGAATATGAATAAGCTGGTATCAGTCAATGATTCATGGTACTGGTAATAACCATTATCAAAATACAAAGTTTTTAGGGGAAGCCAGCTATGTTGGACTTCAAAAAATTAATTATATTAAATGAATTTTAAAGTAACTTTCCCAATCACACTCATATGGCTACAACGAGTCAGTGTCCAGAAAAAAGAAAGGGAAAAGAAATGAAGAGCTTATCAAA